GACGCAGGCAGGCTGGTGAAGCGCAGTCACAGGGTAGCAGGAGGCGGCATTTGGCAGGTACGGAGGGTCATACAGGCCTCCCAGACTCTTCAGGGGCTCCCCACCCATCTCAGTACAGGAGAAAGCCACTGGGAGTGTCTGTTTTGGGCAGGAAGCTTTGAGCACATTGCTTTTCTGGCCCAAGGAGGAAGCTCATTAGCTGGCAGGCACAGTAGCGAGTGGTTGGCAGTTTCTTGAGTCCCAAGAGAGGAGCACAGACCCCATCATCTTGTTATAAGGGACACTTTTTTTCCATTTTGTTTTTTGTTTGAGATGGGGTTTCTCTGTGTAGCTCTGGCTGTCCTGGAACTTACTCTGGAGACCAGGCTGACCTTGAACTCAGAAATCCACCTGCCCCTTCCTCCTTAGCGCTGGGATTAAAGGCGTGTGCCACCAAGCCTGACTGACAAACTCTTTTGCATAGACACTGGTGTTATCTATAAGTTCTCGATTATCTCCGCCTTTTAAACAAGTCACACGTGGCTTGCCAAGGTTAGGTGACTTTGTCAGGGCATGTAGCTAGGATAAGCAGAAGAAGAATCCCCACACAGGTAACACTCAGAGAACAGTGGCTCCAACCCTAGCTGCCGCCCAGTGCCCTTTGAGCAAAATGGGCTGCAGCGAATGAAAACAGTTTAAGTTGGAAATCGTTGTAGGCCATGGCAGTGGAAACCTGGGACGAGGACAGAGAAGGGTTGAGTCCCTGTGACTCCAGGACTAGGGAGGCCTCCCACGGGCTAAGCCTGGCGGGGTCTGGGCAGCTGTCAATGGCCTGGAGCTTTCCTGCTGCACTGTTTTGTTCCCTGTCCCCCAGCGACATCTGAGTAGCAGCTGGGCCTTGTGCACCAGCCAAAGACTCGTGTCCATAATGCATTCATAAACATTTATTTCTCTCTGAATTGGCAAACGGTGGTGCCGCTTGCTGACAGGGCGGTGTCCCCAGAGCTCTAGTCCTCTTGGCACCGGGACAGTAGCTAGCGGTATTGCTGCGGTGCCCTGTTTGAGGATGGCAAGTGTGGGGGGCAGTGCTTATTGTCACTTCCCAGAGTAGACAGCCACCCCCTCATGCTCTACTGTAAGCCCGAGTCTGGAGCTCAGCTTCAGCCAACTCAAAGAGAGCGTATCTCCCTAGGTGGCTGTTAGGAGCTATTGGATGGATGAGGATGATGGTGGTGGTGGTGGTGGTGACAACAGGGACCTTAATGACTACAGTAATGAAGGTGATGACGATGTTACTCACACACTTTCTCTGCTCCTGGACTAAGCTAATGTCATAGAGAAGGACCCCTTTCTGTTCTTCAGGGGCCATGGCTGTCATCAGCATGGGTTACCTGGACGGTCCTTAAATTGCGCAAACAGCCCAGGGCAAACAGTTGCGTGCTTGCTTCCAAACTATAGCAATATTGATGATTGCGAACATTACACCCAACACAAAGATGCAGTCACTCTCCACATAAGGGTGAGGGGAATCACTCAAATTTTAGAATGACTTCTTTTCTTCTGTATCCCTCATTCCTTTTCGCCTATGTGGCCCCTAAGCCACTGTCCCTTGACTGTCTGTCCCCCACTCTCTCCCACCTCTCACAGGGGGAGATACAGAGGCATGGAGACCTTCAAGCTCATTCTTGGGGATTGAGTATGGAAACCCTAAACAGGTGACCCCAGAGCCTATGAGATACCCTTACAGAAGGCAGGCTTGATGTCCCTGAGACCCCTTCTGCTGACTGCATTTAAATCTCAGACCCAACTACCAATGCGACTTGAGCTTCAGTTTAAATGTGTTTCAACCAGTTCGGCCCTGCAATGTGGGAGCAATATTATCTGCACATTAAACACCGAATGATAGCTAACGTGTTGATTGACATTTAACCAGCATCCGGTGTGAAGGTGGCTCTGTTCTACCGAGCAGGGCCTCACTAGGCATTGTGTAATAATTAATTGGCATTAACAAACATAATTGTATGATGCTAAATGAAATGTGCAGCGGCGCCAGTTGTGACTGGAAGGTAAGGTTTCCTCACGTCTAGCTCAGCATGTCAGGGGAAGGCCAGAGTCTTCAAGACGCAGCCCGAGTCTCCTGTGGCCTCCTGCCAAAAGCCTGTGTGCTTGCGAGCCGGCCTCTGGGTTTTCACGAATGCTGCTTCTCAGTTTTGCTGTGTGTCCACGGGTTCCACGAGGACACGTTCTCACTGAGTGTGAGAGTACCCGTCTCGGGGGAGGTAGGGAGGCTCCTGCCAGCCTCTGCCATTGCTATTCTGCCAATGCTTCTCACAACTACGCTTTCCGTATGCGTCCACTTCACCTAAGCGTATTTAACAAGAGGTGTTTAATTTATCAGCACTAAACTAACAGGCTCACCCATTCTTTAACTTAGATTCAGAGGGGGCTGCCTTAATTCACAGATTTTTCCCAAAGAGGCATATCATAGTCATCCTGCTTGTACTCGGAAACACCAGGCAGCATTACCGGAGGTGTGCATGAAGCCATCGTCAGGAGACCTTTCCCACACTGCCAGTGGGAGTGTAGACTCGTACAGCCATGGGAGGAAATGCTGTAGCACTAAAAGTTATACATAAATAAATAAATAAAACGTTATATATGTGCATCAAACTATGGCAGTTGCACTACTGGGTATGTACTCAAGGGAATGACATCAGTATATCAAAAAGATGCCTGCATGCCTATGTTCGTTGACATGCTACTCAGGCTAGCCATAGTATGGTGCCAACCTAAGTGTGCATCAGTGGGCTGGATAAAGAAGATGTGGTACATGTGCCCTGTGGGAAACCACTCTGTCTTCATAATGGATGAAATCCAGAAGACATCATGTTAGCAAAACAAACAAACCAACAAACCACAGAAAGACCTCAGGATCATGTTCGTACCCAGAATCTTAAAAAGGGTATTCACAAAGTTGTACTGCTAGTTTAGTTTTCATTGTGCACTTGACACACCCTTTGTCACCTAAAGAGACAGAACCTCAGTCAGATTGGTTGGTGGCCATGCCTGTGAGCGGTTGTCTTGATAGCTGTGTGAGGGCTCAGCCCACTGGGGTTGGGGTAGGAGAGCACTATCCCTAGGCCTTTGGGTCTGGGCTGCAGAAGATAGCTAGCTCAGCACGAGCTGCGAGCAAGCTTTCGACAGTTCCTGCTTGAGTTTCTGCCCTGATTTCCCTCAATGATGGACTGTAGCCTGGAAGTTAAGCCGAAACCAATCCTTCCCTCTTTGGTCAGAAAAGCAAACAGGACAGAAGTAGAAAAGAGGGCGGTGTTTACCTGAGACCGGGGTGGGCATGGAGCGAGCACGGGCGTTACCTTCCTGACAGCATCACACTTGAGGGGGAGGGCTAAGCTCCAAGCGTTATTGCATAGTAGGTGACCATGGTTAGTTAGCACTATGCATTGCGCATTTCAGAGCAGTTAGGTTCCAAAGCTTCTCATGATCAATGTGGAAGGTGACATGTGCATCAATTACCCTGCCATGACCATTATGCAGTATATACATGTATGGAGGCAACACACTGAGTCCCACAAATATGTGAATTTTGTAAAACCACCAGACTCACCAAAGAAAAACAGACATGTGGGCACTCGGCACCAAGCAGGCCATGGGCAGGCCATCCATGGTATGAAGCACGGAGATGGAAGGTGGCCTTGTTGACCGCATCTGAGCTGAAATTCAGCCCTCACGTATTTCCCACTCTGAATATTCAACAATGGCACTAGAAGACCTTGAACATGGATGTGTGTGTGTGTGTGAAAATAAGTAAGTTGTGTTGAGCAGGAAAACCCACAAATCCACAGGCTGTGAATCCAATGATGGATTTAGCAGATTCCATTAGGAATGGAGTTCTGCATATGTGTGTGTCCTCCACCCCTGCAGGCCTTGGCTCACAGCACCGGGGAGACATTGTGAGATTTAGTGAGCAGTGGAGGGTCATTGCATCCCGCCTAGGCTTAAACTAACTTTCTATCTCTCACCTGACCCAAATCCTTCAGGAATGCTGAAGTTTAACCCTTTGTGCTGGTCACTGTTGTCCTAAGACTCAAGCAGGAGCAAGGAAGAACATGCCCATAGTGAGCTATGCTGGGCCGTCATACACACATGATAAGGACAACTTGTTCCCGGGGCCTCATGCCCACACCAGCCCATCCACAAGCAGCTGTAGGGTTAAGTGGGCGCATGGCGAACCTTTTCAGGATAAACCCATTGTGAAGGGCAGGCGTGGATGCTCTAAGACTATGGGTTCATCCTGGGACCTCGCCCATAATTCCTGCTGCGGTCTTACCTGGGACGTGGGTGCTGGGAGACAGTATGCAGGGTGTCAGCATCCCCAAACACAGACACCTGGGAACTTTATATATCTGGTCACTATGTATTCTGTCAAATGTAAGTTCTTAGCACATACCTGGTCACAGTGCGTGTGAGGCTTGTATTCTCCAGTGCACTGTACTTACCTTTTTTCTCAAGAAGCGAGTCCATGTCTGTGATCATTCACAGACCACACTGGCAGGAGCACTTACTGGAATTTGATTGGTATTTTCAAAGTTCTTGATAGCATTGCCTAGTTGGTTCAATATATGGGGTGTGTCCATCTCAGCAGATCCTAACCAGTCCTGGGGGGTTATTTTGGATCTTTGCTAAGTCTAAATGAAGGTCAAGAGTTTCTCCCTCATTGTGGCAGTACCCCAGAGTCTGGTACACCAGCCTTACACTGAATGTGTGCACATGTGTATCAACAAACAAAAAATTAAAGCAGAAGCTTTCTCTTTCTTAAAACTTCATGATATTGACAAGAAGTTTGGCCTATGCTTTCTCCCAGTAGTTCTTGCGAGAATTTTATTCTTCCAGAAATGTCTGGATAGGTCCCTGAGCTTTGGGGGGGGGGGATGGACTCATTCATATTCTTTCTCTCTTCCTTTGCCCTTTTTTTTTTTCCTTCTCAATAATGGAACATGCAGCTGTTGAGGATGACAATCGCTAAACAAAGGCTCGGAGATGAAGAAATCGGCATGAGGCATTTCGCAGCCCATGAGCGCGAGGATTTGGTCGAGCAGCTGGAGCGAGCTAAGGAACAGGTGACCGCTGAGTGCTGCTGTGGGTGGGGATGCCTGCACGTGGCTTCACAACAGGAAGTAGGGCACACATGCTCCGGTGTCCAAGTCCAAGGGGAAGCCTGGGGAGCTTGGCTTCCTGCGTGCCTCCTAGGTTCATGCTGAGCGTGTGACTGCAGCCAGGGGCATCCGGCACTGATTGTCAGCTGTTCAGTGCATGCCGAGAGACTTGCCTCCATCACCTGCATAGGCAGTTGGGGGAGACTTGTGACAAACTGGCCTTTAACTTAGGAGTTTCCACTAAGATGCTGAGCAGGATTTCAGAGGGTTCGGAGCCCTGCTTAGGAAGCAGCTACAGGAACAAACTTCCTTTCTCTGGCTAACTAGGCACAGGACAGCCAGGGTTCGAGTGGCTTGGAACAGCATGCCCTTGTAAGAGTCCAGCATCAGCCTGCCCTTTCCACGCCTGTGAATGAGAGCAATGAGCAGGGCCTGGACAGCAGGCTCATCTGTGCACCCATGTTAAGTGTCTGGGTGGAAGGTGTCCACTAGCTCCAACCCTTACCCAACCTGCAGTGTGGGTGACTCTAGCACTTGGACAGTACCCATAAGCTCTCCACGTCAGCCGGACTAGTGGAAGCTACACCCCTCACCCAGAAGCCTACATTTGAGAACCGCTGTGACTCTTCTTGCATTTCAGATCGAGTCCTTGGAACATGACCTGCAGGCATCAGTGGATGAACTCCAGGATGTAAAGGGAGAGAGGGCTTCCTACCAGGACAAGGTGGACAGGCTGAACCAGGAGCTCAACCATATCCTGGGTGGTCACGAGAACCGTATCATTGATGTGGATGCTCTGTGCATGGAGAACAGGCAAGTGCTTAGCATCGGAGGGAGGCTGTCTGGGGAGGGGGTAGAGGGGTTCCTGGAGCCCCGGCTGTATTTGAGACAGCCACATTAGGAATGTAAAGCAAGTCACAGCCCCCAAATATTGGCAACAGGAGTGTACTGGTTATAAAAGTGAGCAGAGGAGGGGACATGCCCACTTATGTAGCCTCCCTCGACTCCCACACCTTCTCTGATTGGGCCACAAGGGTGAAGAGCCCAGAAGAGTTGTTTGTGATTGCTGTCAAGGAGAGGAGAAAGAATAAGAAAATAAATTGAGAAATTCCCGTAGCTGTGTCTTTGCCCCCAGGCACATTTCAGCGTGTGGATGTGTCTGACTCGTGTTATGGCTGGCGCCTTCTCTTCCTGGTTTGCTCCCTGGTGGAATCATCTTAATGAGAATTATGTGAAAAGGATGTTGTTGTCCCTTAGGGGATCTCCAAGAGGGCTGTTTTTAAAATGGGAAGTCTGCGATTTGGGCATGTCTGACCTTGATCACTCCCATTTAATAAAAGGTCACCTACACCTGCCCTCCAGGATGAGAAAGGAGTCGTTACAAGCAAATGACATCTGGGCTTCATGTTTCGCTCGCTCTTATCATTCAGTGGGCTTTGCCCCCCCCCCATGCCCATCCTGGTTATGTGTGCTATGTGTGTGTCTTTCTAGATATCTCCAAGAGAGACTGAAACAACTCCATGAGGAGGTCAGCCTTCTGAAGTCAAACATTGCCAAGTACAAGGTAACACAGTTCAGATGGCTCTGTGATTCTCCATCCAACATCTGCACGTCATTCTACTTTGATTCTCTTGTATGCTTCAAAGACATTCCGTCACTTTCCTGTCCTCCCTCATGGAGCCCAATAAGAGCCCTAATTAGGACAGCCAATAAAACCAACCACAGGACAGTAGGCTCCCGATGCCATTTGTTCCCAGTGCCTGCTTTTATGTCTGTAGTCTGGACAGGGCATCGTGATACCTCCAAATCTGTAGCCCTGTGAAGTCGGGGGTCCTCTCCACCTCCTCTGTGAAATGTACAGTTGTCTATTTATCTCGTAACTGCTCCCACTAAAGTGGTTTCAGTGGGAGAAGACACAAGGGTGCGCATGGTGGCCTAAATGCGAGTGTTTGAGGCACACCGGAAGTGTGGGGTGTTTGAATTTGCCTCAATGTCATTTAGTCTAATTCTGGCTCCATTGGTTTGGTAATATCTGTTTCTGCAGTGTTAGTTGTAAGTGTTATAACTGGAAAACTCTCCTGGGTCTCTCTGCTTTGAAAACAGATTGATGGCTCTTCCTGCTGATGAAGTTTTACAGCCAGCTGAATGCTAGCTATGGAGAGCGGGCTCAGCATCCTGGTTGCTGACATTGGCATTTGGTCTCAGAGATCACCATGGCTTTCCATTTGGCAGGAGCCACACTTTCACACACACACACACACACACACACACACACACACACACACGAAGCAAGGAAGTGTGTGCTTCTTAGCATATAAATTTATAACCATTGATATCTCTTTCTGTATCGTGCATCTCGTTTGTATTCCAAACAATGGCTGACTACTATATATCACTGTGAAGGCAAGAGTCCATCCTAAGAATGATCATGGCAGCATGTGTACCTAATCCCAAGGCAGACATCACTAATTGCCCATGATCCTTTTCCAATCCAAGCATCGTATCTTTCCAGACGCCACCACTGGTACATGAAAGCCAATCTAGTCTTCTTCATGTCAGGTCTGTTCTAAAACGATTTCCATAACAAGTTTCTCCACATGTTGGACTGGGTTCTTGCCTCAGATCCCACTTAGGGAACATGAGTTAAACCTCTGAATATAAGGGACTACAACTACTGCCTTTCTTCTTTGCAGTAACTTAAAAACCTAACAAACTCTCTGTTAGGAGCCTCTTAAAATCCCAGGGACCAAGAGTTCTATGTTTCAGGCTACATTTGGAGTCTGCCAGGGTTCCTGTGAGCACACAGGGTATCCCCTTAACGAGGTATTTTTCCATCGGTATCTTTTCTAACAAAGGTTTTTGGTTTTACCATTTTTGCTGCAGAATGCTCTGGAGAGACGGAAAAACTCCAAGGGCCAAGGCAAGTCCAGCAGTAGTGCTCTGACTGGGGTCCTGTCTGCAAAGCAAGGTAGGTGTTAATATGCAGGTTGGATCAATTTTTGAGCAGAGAGCTGCAGTCCACGTCCCACCAGAGCCTCTGGGTTCGTGGGACAGAAAACAGTGGCACCTTGAGTCCTTCCAGCCCAGACTACCCCTAGACAGGTCTTGGGGTGGGACCTGAGAATCTACATCTGCAGGGTTCCCAGGCCATGCTGCTGTAGTGGGAGACCCCATTTTAGGAACCATCACCTTAGAGTTTGCTTCTCCAGTGACTGGATCCTCTTGAAAATGCGTTTCGCCCCCCATCACCACCCGAGAGCCTCCAAATGTCCAGCCCCCTTAAGTGTATTTCTCCTGGCCTCTGCAGACAGAACGGCAAAGCCCCCTGCTGCCTAGATCATTGCACCATGGATCATGGGAACGCATGCCGCTTTCAAAGAGGCTTTTATCGATTGCAGCTTTTCCTCCTTCCTGTCGATTCCAATGAAGAATAATGATCTTCCAGGAGCGGTCTGGGGGGATAAATAGCAGAGACCTTGAGTCTGCTACTTCATATTCTGCAGTCAGTTCCCGACTTAAGCTTAAGGTTGCGCAGGCTGGCTTCGCAGCTGCGGACAGTGCGGACAGGCAGCTATCATGGCCTAGTCTTAATCAGAACTGGCTTTAAAAAGCGTAGCGTCTGCAGTGGACCTAACAATCAAGGGTCTTTCCCAAGCAATTTCTTTCCCACGCTCAACTAGAAAGAAATACGCCAGCAGTGTTTTTTTGTTTGTTTGATTGTTTTTTTTGAATGGGAAGCTATAGCATCCTATAAAAAACATGGAAAAGCCCATCTGTGTGGTCCAGCAAGCAAAGCGTCTGCAACGTAAGCATGGTGGCCTGAGTTCAGGGCACCAGCACCCATGTGAAACACTGGTTGTGGGGATGCACATTACCTTGTCTCAAAAACTAAGACCACGCCAGGCACAGTGTCTTTTATCTCAGCACTCGGGAGGCAGAGGCAGGCAGATATCTCTAGGAGTTTGAAGCCACCCTGGTCTACTTATCAAGTTCTAGGCTAGCCACGCATGCATAAATGAGATCTTGACTGAAAATTAAAAAGTAGAGGGAGATTAAGGAAAGCCCTGATGTTAACCTACAGCCTCCACCTAAATCCACACATGTGTACAGACACATGAACATGTACACATGTGTTGCTGGCATTTTCTTGTCCCGCCAGGTCCCACAGCCGCTTCTCAGCCCCAAATAAATGCACAGAGGCTATATTAATTATTAAACTGTTGGCCAGTGGCTAGGGCTTCTTATTGGTTATCTCTGTCTTAATTATTAACCCATTTCTATAAATGTATGTATTTCCACGTGGTCTTGCTTACCAGACCTGTATGTGTCATCTCCTTTGGTGACTACATGTCGTTTATTTCTGTTGGGCTCTCTCTGCCCAGAAGTGTCCTCATCTCCTAGTCCTGCCTATCTCCCTGTTTTATTCATCAACCAATAAGAGAGACGTATATCCAGAAGGACAGCCCCCATCACACATGCATAAACACACACACAGAGAGAGAGAGAGAGAGAGAGAGCCCCTTGCATGGTTAGCCCTGGACACCATACCTAGCAAACAGCTTATAGTGTGGACCTCTGTCCTGACTCTTATGTCACAAGTGACAGCCATAGTCAAACATCATAGGCAGAGTTATCCACAGACTCAAGTCTTCTAGAAAAAACTCATGAGAGGGAATCTTATTAGCATGATCTATGAGATTGGTAATCAAAATGTGTGAGCATGGCAATCAGTTATTAAAAAAAAAAAAAAAAACCTAAGTAGATCCCTTAGCAAGAACTAGCAAGAAATAAATTAGACACATAGGAACCTTTTGCTATAAGAAATTTGTTCATACAGTCTGTATTTTAACTGGAAATGGCCTAAGTATCTAGCGATAGCTAAATGAATTTTTACAGTCCTAAATGGACTATTGAAAGTGGGGATAATAACGGGATGGAATGTTGTTAAGTGAAGAGGTGGTGTTTCTCCCACTATAGAAGATTACTGAATGAGTCTTTGTACGCACAGATAGTCACACAGGAGATGATGTTTGAAAGAACACGAGAACACAGCGTTTCTCTTCATACTCGGGCGAGTACCAGGGCGCCTGTCCCGTGGGTTCGCTCCGCGCTGATCACCCCCTCTAAAGTGGTGTGTTGCTTTCGCCATAATCAGAGAGCCTGAAGGCCAAGGAAGTTTTGTCACCTGCAGGACAGTGTGACCTTTCACATGTTTTTTACCCATCTGAGACTTACTTTATTGTTAACAAAATGGAAATAAATAAATAACACTTGCTAGGCTTGGGGTCTTTTTTTTTTTTTTTTTTTTTTTTTTTTTGAGTCTCAGTGAGCTACCATAAAAATGCCTTCACGCACTGGTGAGTGAAAATTAGTTGCAAATGGTTGAATGTGAGCGTGCACTTGTGCAGCAGGTGCAAAGCCCTGGGTTCCGTCCTACTTGACAAAAAGAAGTTTTTTTTTTTTTTTTTTTTTTTAAAAAAGGGGGGTTCTGATGGAGGATGTTCTTCTGTATACATGTTTCTCTTATTGGTTGATGAATAAAACACTGATTGGGGGTCTGCCAGATGAGGAGAAGGCTAGGTAGAGGAACAGAGAGAGGCTGCCTGCAGATGCCATGCTGTCAAAGAAATAACATGCCAGATTACAGGTAAGCCACAGCCTCGTGGCAATACATAGTTTAATAGAAATGGGTTAATAATTAAGAGAGAGCTAGCCAGTAAGAAGCCTGAGCCATTGGCGAAACAGTTTCTAGTTAATATAACTCTCAGTGTGTTCAGGCTGAACGGTGTCAGGACCAGGCAGAACAGAAACTTTTCATCCACAGGGATCAGACTCCCTTGAGGCTTTCCCACTTAACCCTGACGCTGACTCCTGTGTTGCTGTATTGCTGGTAATTGAGATAGGCTCCCAGGGAAACACAGCATCATGCCAAAGCTTGGGAAACCTCCTCATCCAGGAAAAACCGACATGGGTCTGTAGTCCCACGTTTCAGAACCCATGACTGGCTGTCAACTTTGTGTCTTCCCTAGTCCAGGGTCTGCTCTCGGAAGATCACGGGTGCAGCCTCCCAGCTACTCCACAGTCCATTGCTGACCTGAAGTCTCTGGCCACGGCCCTGCTGGAGACGATCCACGAGAAAAACATGGTCATTCAGCACCAGAGGCAAACCAACAGGTGCGCAGTAGGTCCTTAGACTGGGGATAGCAGAGTGGGAATGAGGCTCCCCGAAGTGAACCACAGGCACTCTGGGAAGAAGGTAACGTGCCTGAAATCTGGGGTGGGGTGGGGGGTGGGACAACTCCATGAAACCAGAACCACTTTGCATCCGGGTTATCCATCAGAGCCAACAAAGCAGGACTCTTGATTTCTTAGTCAGCTGTGCTCTATTAACACCAGTGTCAAGGTGGTTCCTACAGGACAACCTCACCTCTCCTTTTGAGGTGGGAGCTACCTCAATGCCCCTCCAACCCTGTGACTTGACTCTGAGGCTCTCTCCCCATCAGGAAAACAGACGTCAGCTTTTGGGCTGCCGTCCCTGAGGGGAGTTTCCTGTCACTCTGTCAGATAATCTTCGAGGCAAGGCAGTAAGATGGGACTCCCTGTGTGATCTTTAGTGTGGAATGTGTTGCATCAAACTCAGCGGGTTAAGGTGGGTTAAAACAGTGCACAGAAGCAAGACAGCAAAGTTGAAGACGTCTTCTGAGTGCTGAGTACGAACAGCAAATGAAAGCAATAAATATTGCATACACCATCCATTTCTGTTCCTATAACTGAGAACCCGAGACAAGGTAGTTTATGAATTTTTTGGTTTTTGTTTGCCTTTGGTTTTTTGAGACAGGGTTTCTCTGTATAGCTTTGGAACCTGTCTTGGCACTAGCTCTGTACACCAGGCTGGCCTCAAACTCACAGACATCCACCTGCCTCTGGCTCCCAAGTGCTGGGGTTAAACTTGTACGCCACCAACGCCCGGCTAATTAATGAATATTTTTAAAAATAAGAAGTTCACTTCCCACATCTCAGGAGCCTGAGTTCAAGAGCACCACTGTGTGTGTGTGTGTATGTGTGTGTGTGTGTGTGTGTGTGTGTGTGTGTGGTAATGGTCTTCATGCCACATCTGAACGTGACCCAGGTACCACCTGGTCACACAAGGCAAGCATGCTTATCTGGATAGCCTTCTCCTAAACCCACTGACAGCCTCTTTCTAACCGCCTCCCAAGGGTGACTAGCGTTGACCTATGAGCTTGGAAATTCAGCTTCTAACACAGGAGCACTTTGAATCACAGCAGGGCCAGCCTTGTAGCATGCAGTCCACCCGGAGAAGGATTTGCCATTTGGCCAGATGCTGTTTCAGGCGTGTTGAAGTTCATGATGATTTTCCCCCACTGGAGTAGGGGGACACATTTTTTATCTTGCACAGAACCCTGAAAATTATAGGTGGTCCTGCTCCTAAGACTCGCACTCAGAGCCACAATGACACTGCAGAGGGAACCGAGCAAGAGTGAATGTTGGACTTGGGGTGGGGACCTGAGAGCTGGGGCTGCCCAAGGCAAACAAAAGAGGAAAGGGAGGTGATGGAGTGTGGAGAAGACCTTACCAGAGAGGAAGATGTATGTGGGAGAAAGCAAGAGCATCGAGGGAGGCCGGCAATCTCCTGGGGTGACAGGGTAACTTATTGACAGGAGGTGTTTGCAACAGCCTTGCAAAATGAAACAGCCCTGCTGAGCTGCAGCTACTTGTCAGGAAGCAGGAATGGGAATCTGGTGGGGGATCTGGAGGGGGATCTGGTGGGGGAGGGCTGCCTTTGGGGATCCCCTGAAGCCAGCAGTGAGCCTGCTCCTCACTCCCAGAAGTCCCTGGCTAGGGGCTCTGGGCTCCTTTGAGCCCTACTGCACCAGGCCTAGGCCCTAGACATAAACCCGTAAACCATTTACTCCCTGTGTGGAGGCTGACATTTTTCATTCACCATGGGGAATTTGTTGTTGTTGTTGTTTTGTTTTTGAGCATACCTTTGCATACTTACCCATTTTAAAATAATTTTTTTTTTCTTTGAGCCATAGTTAAGTAACCATGGGTCTCCACACACGTCAGCTGTCCAAATCCCCTTCTTGGGAAGAAGTCGCAGTTTGTTGTGCTCCACATGACCTTCAAGTCATGCGAACAAAGGCACAGCACGGGGAAACACACCTAACCATTCATGTATTCATGGATTATTTTAAAAACAAAACAAAACAAAAAAGCAACTATTCTTTATCACAGAAAAGGGAGGGACTCCTTTGTGCCTTTGGTCTCTGGCTGGCTTTTGTCCCCTGAAACAGTAGATCGTGGAGGTAGCATCATATTGGTATACAAAGGAATGTTAAAGGTGCCATTTTTGGTACTTTGAAGGCCTTCCATTTCATACTTCCTGGAGGCGTGTGCAAAGGTTAACTGGACTATAAATGAAGGGCTGAGAGCAGAATGTGAATTTGGTCAGCTTGCTGGTACCCCTCATGACTTAGCCTTATAACTTAGAAGGGGGAGGGTGGAAAGGAAGGAGGGAGGGAAGGAAGAAGAAAGAAAGGAAGAGAGAGAGAGAGAGAGAGAGAGAGGGAGAAGAGGCTTTAGTAAGGTGAGGTAAGGATTAAAGACTGGCTCTGACAACGACCCCCTCCAGGCAGAGGGTCCTGTGGGAGCCATCCTGATGATTGCTAAGTACCACGGGACTGTACATCTGAGTGATGCTCAATGGCTTGGCTGCTTGTTGGCTATGCTTTTTGATGATGCATTAGCTGTTACCTGGTTATCACTAAAGAAGGGAGGAGGTTCCCTTCCCTAACAGGCTGGTGCACAGCGGAGAGGAAGGTTGTTAAAGAACCTGCCTGTCCTTTCCAGATGGCTAATTCAGTAACAAACTGCTCCCGCTTCCCTGGTTGATGGTAGTAAGCGAGCTAAAAAGTTTGCTAAGTCTCATGTCACAGCGATGTCCTGGATCACAGCCGAGTCTCCAATGGCCCCGGGTGGGGCGTGACAGGTACTGTGGGAGCCACCCCTCCCCTTCAGGCTGGGGGTTGTCTGGACCCTCACTTAGGAATCCCACCAGACTGGCCAGCTCTTTGCTGATTTTTGATCTTATCCTCAGGAATGTCATCAGAGGCCATGCTATGAACTCAGTATGGGGCTCTGACATCTGGAGGATTTTGTTAGACTAAGGGGCAGGAGGTGGGTGACATGCACCCAAGTCTTTACTATATCTTAAAACAACCTGCAACTACCTTCACAAATCTCCATTTGGATCCATACCCAGGCCTGGGTGTGCCCTCAGCTCCTGCTCTGGCTGCCTCTCCGCGCTATAGGCTGTCTTCCCAGTGGGTGGGGGGGGGCGGGACAGGGGGGGGCGGACTGGGGTTCCCTTTATCATCGTCCTGGCGCTGCCCCCCGAGGGTAAGCCACATCTCTCACACACTTCTTGGAAGAAGCGGGCCCTTCCCATTAGCACCTCTCCAGTGACTTCCAGGCTCTGCTGTGTCCCTGTTCCTTTCCCTATCCACAGCCCTTCCTCGCCGCTCGCTCTCTGGTTCACAGCTCCTTCTCTCCCTCCTTACAGCCCTGGTTTTTTGGGCTCTCCTGCATCCCTGCCCTGCCCCATACTTGGTTGTTGGACACATCTTTATCTTCCTGGATGATCTTTCTGCCTCTACTTCCAATCCTTGTCTGTTCTCAACTTCATGTGAGGACCACTTCCTAAACTTCTCTCTGCTGCTTAGAAAGAAGACTGTAGTAGGTCCCCAGAACTTGTGATAAAAAAGCCAGAGTGTTCACAGCCTGGCCACACTCCTTCCCCATCAGAGGCCCTGCCAGCGCCCCCTGGTTCTGCCTTTCCCTAAGCTTACCACCCCCCCCCCCAGCTTCTATCAGACTTGTGTGCTTCCGGGCTCTGTTTTTGTCTAGTCTCTCTATTACCAGCTGTATGACCCCGAGTGAGCCATTGTCTTGGGTGAACCTCAGGTTTCTCATCTATAAATCAAGGCCCACCTACCCAGATGTTGCAGAAAGACAAAAAAACAGAAGGAAGAAATACACACACACACACACACACACACACACAAAAAAAAAAAAAAAAAAACCAGGATAGTGTCAGTGTTGTTCAAGAGCATAACACCTGACTTGGAACACATTCTGGATACGTGTCAGCTGTCCTTAGGTTCGCTAGCACATTGTCCACGTGTGTCTGCTAACAGACTGGGGACAGGACCCTGTCCTTTCAGCCTGTAGCACAGAGGTAGATCCCAGGAGCTGGCTTTGGATCGGTCAAACTTCTTCAGCTGCGATTGTTCTAACCCTTCTCTCCATCCTGAGGATTCCCAATCACTGTGGCTCTCACAGCCTCTTATACCAGCTCCCATAACCCCTGCCTAAGTCCCCCCATGTGAGGCCAGGCAGGAGGTCCCTTCTGGTCATACAAAGCATCTTGGATTGTAGTCTTCACATCACCTATGGCTATCTATATCCATAGTTCCATGAGTGCAGATTTTTAAAGAGTTGCAGTCACTACTACTAATGGTTCTATAGCTGCTATTGTCAACCCCACAACTTCTCTCCAGATCCTCTGTTACCCTTGGCCCTGCATCTAGGAGCTGGTGTCAGACAAAAGAATACAACTGCCATTGAAAAACTCAAGCAGTATCCTTGGGAATAGGATATGGGGGTGGGGTGGGGGACCGGCCACTTCACACATTCCATTTCTCTGAGAAATGGCTGGGTTATCCAGAAACAGCATGAGCAAAACTTGCACTCTACCTATAAACCCAGTTCAGGGCATCCCTCTGCATCACTGAGGAGTGGAGCCTTAGCCCTTGTCCCAAGAGGCAGCTGCAGACATGTGATCTCATCTCATTAAGGAGCAAGCATTAAGTACTGTTGTGATTTCCCATGTCAGACCCATCACCTGTGAGGAAGAGAGCTGGGATCAGAAGCTCTGGGCAGAAATATTGAAGACAAAGGAGTCTAGAGAAGGGTCAAGGGTGTGAAAGTAAAACAGACCCAACAGATGGTGTGAAATCGAAGTGGCTGATAATCACTATGCAGAGTGCAAGACCTGAGGAGAAGAGGGAGAGATGGGCAGGAACTAGATGAAGGAAGTCACTAGATCAATGCCAGTTTCCCTGTGAACTCCAGGGGAAGTTTAAGACGCTGCAGGTCGATTTAGGTAAAATCAGGATGAACCGAGCTGTGTGTATGTGCAGCTATATGCATATTCATGGCTCAGAATGTATGTGGGTGTGTGCAGCTATCTCCGGAATAGAAAGAGACGTAGGAGAATAATTTTTGCTGCTCTAATTTTTCCCCACTGAAAGGAATTGAGAATTTTCTATTAAGGAGATTCTCATGTCATTTGAGCACGACAGTGCCAAGAAAATCCTCCAAATAAAAATTAAGACTGGTTTCCAATCCCAGACCACTGGAAAGCAAGATTTTAGATGAGTGTCCATCATGTCTCGGCTATGTTTAATGTCTGCAGAGAACGAACGGATGTTTACACAAAGCCTGCCTTTCAGGCACACAGTCTCATCTTTTCTACTACACATTTCAGAACTTAGATATCCCAGTGAGTCTGGATGGTCATTTGGAAAACAAGCTTGCTATCCTAGTGATCCCCAAATCGCCGAAAATTCTTTTTAAGATTTATTTACTTAGGTGTGGTGGGAGTGGGGTGCACATGTGCCATGTCTGGTGTATGGAGGGCAGAGGAAAAATGGCAAGACTTCATTCTCTCCTTCCACAGTGTGGGACCTGGGGCTCAAACCTAGACTGTCAAGCTTGCCAGCAGATGCCTTTACCTGTAGAGCCATCCCATAGTTCCACTGAAAACTCTTTTGAGATTCTTATTATTCACCTTTCCATAGATGATTGCAGATCATGAAAAAGAAAAACGAAAACTCCCGTGTTTAATTACACACATTTATTGGCCACGGACACTGTATTAGACATTGTTCCTGACATATAGGATATCAGCATCAGTAAGACCTAGTGTGGGTCTTCCAAAGCTGATCTTGTTACTTTATTGCCTCAGAAGAAACATTTGCAAATGTGCCGGGCTATCTTACCTACTGGTTCCAAAATCAAACCCACTCGTACAGAATGAGGGTCTGCTGCTACTAAGAACATTCAAAATCAATTGTCATCTTTAGCAATGAATGATTCTCAAATGAAAATTCCTTACAATGTTTTGGGTGGTGATGAAATATGTGTTCAACATCCAGGGAATTGCCTTCTGGAACAGAACTCAATTGAACAGTCTCTCTCTCTCTCTCTCTCTCTCTCTGTGTGTGTGTGTGTGTGTGTGTGTGTGTACGCGCGCATGTGTGTTTATTTTCAAGTTCCATATGAACTTTCAGTAGACTGTATATCATATTTACATGTACCCAGTTGCTCTATTTTTAGCACCATTCTTAAATCTATCGACTCCCTTATTAGCTACCACCTAGGCTGAGAACTGATCGGTGACTCAGTCTCCTCTTAGTATTTTCCTGCTTTTTCCAGGATCCTAGGGAATCGAGTGGCAGAGCTGGAGAAAAAGCTAAGAACTCTGGAAGTTTCTGGTCTGTGGAGTCTTCCAGGTAAGCAGAAACTGTAAACGGCTGTGCCTTTCTTCTTGTTTGGGCTTTTGCTCACTTTTTAAAAGAACCATCTCACACAATTTGCAACAGGATTCTGCCTGTTTGAGGCCATTTGATTTGGAGACTATTGAGAAACAACCCACAAATGTTTCAAATTGAGAAACCATCCAATGGCATGTCCATGAAAGAGACAAATTGAGAAATAGACAATACATTTTCAAAATCTTATCAGGGACACTGATGTTTAGGTAGCTTAACTTGTCAAAGCATTGTGTGTGTGTGTGTGTGTGTGTGTGTGTGTGTGTGTGTGTGTGTGCAGCACACACTAATCTTTGTGAAAGCTGGTGAGGTGTTTCATTTCTTATCATTAGTCATCAAGGTTTGTTCCATGTAACCTTCCCTCCTAAAATGAATGGGAGAATATACAAAGATTTGTTCAATGTAATCACCAGTCCTAAAAAACAGATATCAGATCTTACAAAGATTTGTGCAATTTAATCATCAGTCCTAAAATGGAACGTAAAACTGCACAAAGATTTGTTCAGTTTAATCACCAGTACTAAAAAGGAAGTACCAACAATTTTTCCTACCCAGATGTACTTCACAGCCACCTTCTCCCCCCCCCCCACCTCCCAACAGTGCTGTGTAGCTTGCAAACAAAAATTTCCCAAGGAGATGTTTCTCCCTACATTTGTCCAATGTGTGAGAAAAGCCGTGGTGATTCTTTCTAATGAGCTATACTTATCCCGTTTGTCCCAGTAAAATACCCCTCTCAGGAGACCCCGTCAGTTATTCGCCTTGTCTTTACGCTGTTTGGAAACTTATATTTATCATTTTCTGCCGCCTCCTGGTTCCCTGGAAGGAACATTGTCCGGGTATTTTTAGTGCCTTACCCTTTCAGTGCGGAGCGGTCTCTTCCCTCGGCTCCTGTGGGCTGCATTCCTGCACGGTTGAGAAATGAAAATTACCCCGGGAGAGGAGGTGAACAACATCACGTTTTCCTTGGTGGAAATCTGAATAGCTGCCTTCGGTCGCCTGCGAGTGTGTTTCATAAATTGGAATTTTTCACAGAGATTCCTTGGACTGGATGTCAAAAGACCTCACAGAACTAATTAGTGGCGAGTGCCATCCTGGGAATTTGAATGGTTCCTTCGAACCAGCTGCTTTTGATGATGTTCAAACCTCAGCTTCTGTGAGGGCCCTTTCTCTCACTGCATTGAATTTCAACGCAGACAGACAAATTTGTCAGTTATTTGTGCAGTCAAATTGCTGTTTTTGTGCATGTACCAAAGCTTTGTTTCTTTTTTTTTCCTTCCCTCTCTCAGAATGACTTTGTGAATTTTCTCGCTGTTTCATTTGTGTGATTTATGTAAGAAGATGAAAGTTGAATGGGTGAATCAATGCTGGGAATTGCCTGTGTCTGGTGTTTGTTTGGTCAGGTAGGAGGACTCCAAATGGCTGCTCTGCAATAATGACCGTTTTTCCCTTCTTTTTGCTGCGGAAGGCCTGAGCTACAATGTTTCCGTTGGATTTGGGAGTATGTTCATTTTCAAACATTTGGGGTTTCTTGTGGCTAAGTCGGGGACACATTCTATCAAAATAGTAGAAATCTGCTGTCCACCTTTCTGTGAACTTTCTAGATAAACATAACTTACTGAACTGGAGAATTCCGTTAGTGTGTGTAAGCGAGCATTTGTGAGCGCAGCTAGCTCGAAGGAGCAGCCTCAGGCTGTGGGCATCGGGTTCCAGTCTCTGGTCACCACACAGATCCAAATGAGGGCAGGACTGGCTCTTTGCCCTTTGGATATAGCTTTTGTCATTGCGACAGCCTTGCTTTGGGGCAGGAGTGGATGGAGCTCTGCCCTGGGGTGTTTGAGTCCTGGAGAGAAGGGGCGGTGAGTGGGTGCCTGTCCCTGTGTGAGTCACAATGCCTCTATCCCTGCGATTCCATGTCTCCATTTAACCTACTGCAGGGCTGAGCAAGAAGCAATGTGTTCTCTCTCATCCTCCCCCCCCAAGCAGCAGCTGAATCTCAATGGAAGGTTCTGAGTCCTGTTGGTTTCAGTCTTATTAACCAGCATCTCAAATGGAACGAGCAAAGTCTTCTCCAATAAGTCACTTTATCCATGGGCTGGTACCTGTTTTGAGCTTCAGCTTTATGAATACCATGCCAGGCAACCTGCTCCCCCCCCCCCAACCTGTGCCTTGATAGTAGCAAAGCGAGGGGCTACTGCAAAGGAAGCCAGCCGGTAGGAATTGCAAGCCACACTTCCTAGCCAGGCTAGATCCCTTTACTCCCCACCTCTTGGCATCCTTCCCTCAGGGCTCCTCAAGTCTATGTAGGTGGCTCTGAGGAGGGTTGTCTGTATGTGTTCACATTCAACAAAGACACACTGTGTGTTGGAAGCTGGCTCTTGAGTAAAGTGCTTGCTGCTCAAGCATGAGTTTGATCCGCAGACCCCACACAGAGCCAGGCATCTTAGCACACAGTAGTGATCCCAGGGCTCTGATGGAAACAGAATCCCTGGAAGCTCATGGGCCAGACAGACGGGTGTGCATCGCAAAGGCCAAAGTGACCCAGCGAGGCAGGGACAACATCCAAGACCCCCCTCCCAGAGAGGGGAAGAAAGAGAGAGAGAGAGAAAGAGAGAGGGGGGAGGAGGGAGAGAGAGAGGGAGGGAGAGAGAGAGGGAGGGAGGAAGGGAGGGAGGGAGGGAGGGAGGGAGGGAGGGAGGGAGGTGAAGAAGTACAGGCACAATCCACAGAAATTCTGAAAGCCAGAAAGCAATCCCGCTATGGGCTATAACCTGGTGTGTTGAGCTTTTCATTTTCAATCTGTATCTACTCCGAGGCATGGGCCTGAGGAGGAAAGCCTGGGGGTTGGAAGTACTTGGTTTGCTTTTTAGAGGCAGCAGAGAGAACTTGGTGCCATGTGGGATCAGCAGAGCTTGAAGCCACTGGAGTGGCAGCTGAATGAGAAGCCAGTGTGGCCCTGGGCATTAGTGGTCCTTTGACCTAGTGTGCAGAATTTCCTCCCCGACACACCCTCTCCTCTACGGGGAAGCCAGATGGAAGCTCAGGTGACCAGGCTGTCCATTAGACCTCAGTTTGGAGGCCACAGCCGGCTCCAGACCTTCAGAGAAAAGCTGAACCAGGGGCCTTCTAAGAAACGAAGCATGAAGCATGGCGCGGGTGACCAGATCATGGCATGTGGCTAATATGGGGGTACCATCTCCAGGCAGGAGTTTAGGGAGTCATGTCTTCTCACCCCATTGTGACTGGCATAGATGAAGGCTGGCTTGTTTGCCTTCTCTACACGCTCTACACTCAAGTTTCTACACAAGTCTCTTGTTTTTGTGAGGAGCCACTGTAGGATGGAAATGTCCTAGGATTTGGGAGCCAAGAATACATCCATCCTAAAGATGCCCGTGAGAGAAACCCCCAGACCGCCTTGATCACTGCTGGTTCTCACTCCTGTCTCTACCTCAGATTCTTTGGCCCCCAGGGTGGATGGTTTTATGCAGAGGGGATGGAGCTTTCCCAGAAGGCTAGCAAGCAGATAGTTTACCTGCTGGAGATAGATGGGCATGAAATGCAGTCCTGACCTTAACTGTGGACATACTGTGTTGCCGTGATGGAGATAAGGGAAAGAAATCTACCATGAGGCACCTATTGCCTGTTATGGTTCCTAAAGCCAGTGACCAAGAATCCATGAAGACACTTCCAGAATGCACTCTAGATTTATTCCACCAGAGACAGTGGATGTGCCTGGCAGAACCTCAGGGTCAGCTCCGAGCAGTTTCTCAGCTGGCCTGACCCTCAGGGGACAGAGATCCCAAAAGCCATTGAACCGATCACTTGCCACTTGCCCAAGGCAGCAGCAAGTACCAAGCATGCCAGGTTCCAGGATCCATTAGACACTTCAGACCTTATCGGGCATTTAGTGCGTGCCTACTGTGTGAAGAACTCTCTGCAACAAGTTAATCAAGTTAATAAGACAGTTCTCTAAAAAGCAGGAGAGACCAAGGAACATGATGATGAATGTGTAGACATCTATCTTTACCTAAGTGGCCTTCTGGGCCCTGATGAATGGGAGAACTAGTAAAATCACGGACCTGCAGTGAAAAGTTTACTTGAGGCCAGACTGGAGCCCAAGCTGGTCTCTGGACCTGGAGCTTTTGTTTAGGCCCATTGGTTTCCACCCAGAGAACCCTGAAGCCTTCCGAGCCAAGACTCGGCCACCTCATAACGGCACCACTGTGTGTTCATGCGTTCGGCGCCAGTGTGTCTGCTTGTCATGCTCGTGTGTGAAGCTGTCCCCCGCTGCTGCTCATCTGTGTGACCCATTCTGCCTTCCGCAATGGCAATGTGGTACCCTTTCTCGTGCCCTCTCAGCCACTCCAAACCGCTCTGTCCTCGTGGGGAAACTGACAGTAACCAACAGGCAGTAAGGTTAAGCTGTGTGCGTGTGCCCAGTGGGAATACAGCCAGGGCAGGGAGGAGGACTTGATGCCACTGCCTTGTGACAGTTCCATAGTTAACGTGACCAAATGCAGTGTGGGGGGGCATCTATCAGGTGGGTGGGAGTCTGTGCTGATGATTTCAGCACATGACATTTGCTAAGCGCTCTCTAAACACCCGAGGCCTATTCCTGACCATTTCGTTGCTTTATCTTTACAACTGCCCATTATGAGAACCTCGAGGTCCAGGGAAGGAAACTGACGCCCTTGCTGCCACCCAGCGAGCAGGTGACTATTTCCAGAGCACAGCCCCCTGCTGCCGATGCTCTTGTCCCATCCTACGGCTCAGTTTCCCCCAACCATACAGGCTTCCCTTTACCAGTGACGCCTGTGGGCAGCCATTCCGGAGCAGCCCCAGGGGGATGAGTAAAGGTCTTCCACCGCGGATGGATGGAAGATCTGTGCTCTGCCCACACACTAGAGAAAGATCTCCTGACTACCTTACGTGTACTGCCCACAACTGAAGGCGTTTCCTCAACCAAATAGCTAGCTCATTGTGTAGGAGTGTCTTAGTTTCATTTCTGGTGTTATGATTAAAAAAAAAAAATACCCTGACCAAAGAAACTTGGGAGAGTAAGGGTGCATTCAGCTTACAATTCTAGATTGTGGAGAAGCCAAGATGGCAGGAACTCGAAGCATCTAGTCACATCCCCACTTATGGACAGAGGAAGACTGTGTGCATGCTTATGCTCAGCTCATTTTCTTTTATATGGTCCAAGTCCCCTGACTAGGGAATGATGTCACCTTCAGTGGGCCGCTCTTTCCACCTCAAGCAGTGTAGTTAAAACAATACTTCAGAGGCTAACCTGATCAAGGCGGTCACCCTTTGAGACTCTCCCCAGGCAATTTCACAGTGTATCAAGTTAATGGAAACTGTTACAAGTTGTAAATGCTGCCCAGGTAACCAGTGACTCTCCTGTCTTTCTCACAGGGGGCAAGGACACTATACTGTTCAGTGACCAGACTCTTCCCACCATACAGAGGTCAAGGTCCCCACTGTTGAAGTTTGTGGAACAGCCCACTGAGCACAAGGAGAACACCAGGGATGGTAAGTATTCCTCAGGTCTGCTCTCAGGTCAGTACCCGCTACAGAGCATGTCTGTGAAGACATTCTCTCCCCACACTGAAACACACACACACACTCACCCACACTCAAATATACACTCACAAATGCACCCACACACCCTCACGTGCACACACTCACAGACACACACTCTCACACACATTCACACACACTCACAGACACACACACTCACACACACATTCACACACACTCACAGACACACACACTCACACACACATTCACACACACTCACAGACACATTCACACACACTCACCGACACACTCTCTCACACACATTCACACACACTCACCGACACACTCTCTCACACACATTCACACACACTCACAGACACACACTCACACACACATTCACACACACTCACAGACACACACACTCACACACACATTCACACACACTCACAGACACACACACTCACACACACATTCACACACACTCACAGACACACACACTCACACACACATTCACACACACTCACAGACACACACACTCACACACACATTCACACACACTCACAGACACACACACTCACACACACATTCACACACACTCACAGACACATTCACACACACTCACCGACACACTCTCTCACACACATTCACACACACTCACCGACACACTCTCTCACACACATTCACACACACTCACACATACACTCACAAATGCACCCACACTCCCTCAAGCACGCATACACACACTCACAGACACACTCACTCATTCACACACTCACCCACACTCACAGACACACACTCTCTCACATACTCACTCACTCACATACACTCAGACATACACTCTCACACACACTCATAGTCACAGACACAAACACTCACACGCACACACAGGCATACTCAAGTATAGTCTCTTTCACACACACACACTCACACACATACATACACTCACACACACACTCATGAGTCTCTCTCACACATACACACACATACACTCACACACACTCACATACACTCACAGACACACTCACTCACATACACTCATAGTCAAGACACAGACCCACTCTCTCACACACACACTTACAGACACACACACACTCACTCACACACAGACACACACACTCACACATACACACACACACTCACACATACACACACACATACACACACACACACTCATGATTCTCTCTCACACACACACACTCACACTTGTATTTGCAGCTACAATCTCCTATTTTGGATCCTGAACTTCACCATCAGTCTGTGACTTTTTTGGTGCACCGCCACCAGCTCTTCCTGCTTCCTCTTTTTTTGGGCCCCCCCCAAAAAAAAGTGTGCGGTAGTGTCTTAGGCTTGAAACCTTTTGTCATTGACTCCTGTCAGTATCTCTTCTCCATCCACAGTGACCTGTAGCCAAAGTCTTTCTGCAGGGTTTCCTGGGCCTCCCACTTGTGACTCAGTCTGGGCACTCACTGTGTCGTTGGAGGGTCCCCCCCTTCTGACCTGTGCTTGCTCAGTGCCCATCTTCATCCACCAGCCGCCGCGTCAACCCACGGTGACACTTTGCTGTCCCATTTTCACCCTGCCCAGAGTTTCCAAGTTGCACTTAGCTGTCTTAGCATCTCTGCTCCATGATGTATGTGATCTAGCCCATCCTCCTCCCCTGGTGATTAGACAACCCATTAGCAATACGGGCTGACCAGCTCTATCGTTAGCTTGTACTGTGAAACCAGCCAGCTCACAACTTGGAACTCGAGCATCAGTGGGACTTATCATGATAGGCAGATGCTTCCGCCCACCCGAGCTGGGGCCAGCAAGGTTCACCCAGCATCTTCTCACTGTTCAGATTGCTCACCACAGGACCAGAACAGCAAAAGGAGAAGACATTTCTAGGCTTTTCAAAAGAAATCTTTTCGAGTGCCCATGGGAGAATCCCTGGACACTGACCCTTACCCTGGTGAACCCACACTGGCCAGAAAGCAAAACTGCATCATCACAGCCTGTAGCATGTGCTTGGCCTCCAGCGCACTGTGGCTAGTGGTCCTGGCATGCTGGCAGCCTCTGACAGTTCTGGGTGTGTGTCCTGGGCTGCACTGGAAGGAGCTGTCTTGCTCTCCACAAGGGCAGCGTGAGTGGGGGACTGATTCAGAATGACAGCTTCCAGAGTCCCTTCATCAGCGTGCATTGTTCTTGCCTGTCCTGAGCCCGCTCTGGGTGGGAACAAGGACGCGCTCTCTGAGAGGCTGTCAACAGCCCAATGGTCTCATCGCTGCTGTGGCCTGATTAATTCCAACTGAAAGCTGCCTCATGCAGGAGGACAACAAAACCCAGCCCGCAGCCAACAAAAGATGACAAACACCCCCTTTGGGCCTAAGGGTGGGGCTAACAATCTTTTCTACAACACCATTTCTTCTTTATCTTTTGGAGAAAAAAAGAAAATTTTTTTTCTTTCCACTCTGTCATGAAGCATTTTCTCTGCTCTTATTGATATGTGTATTGTGACTAATTAGTATTAATGATATTAATTCTGTTTGTGACAGCAGCCCAGAATAATTACTATTATTTGCAATAATATTTTCCAACATTTGGCTAATTCATAAGTGTTTTATGGAGATGTCAGTGCTGTGAGTCTGTAAGTAAAGTAAAAAGCAAAGCTTCCCATGGCTGGCTTAAGAGTTAACACCCTGAATCTTAGCATTCAAAGGGGTTTGGTTCCCATAGCAAAGGATCAGAGGTCCTAGCGAAGGAATGATGGCTGTTACAGGTTTAAGAAGTTTTCTGTGTGTACTGATAATTGACTTTAGCATGCTGTTTGGGTGCCTTCTGGATAAACACAAGGAAAAAGGGGGGCATTGGTAGACCCTGCTGTACCCACAATGTCAATTTCCAGAATCTGTATTGTCCCGGTCCCAAAGTGTGCTATCCAGCAAAGTAAATAGGAGCAGAGCCACGGCTGGTGTCCGTCATCTTCAGGAGTCCACCCTCTCCCTCTGGTGCCCTGTCACCTCCTTCCCGTGGCTGTGCTGTAGCCTATGGTGATGGCAGTGGGACTTCCCGTCATCCCCTGAACCAAAGTTTAAAATAAAAATGTTTCCCTGGTAACCTCAAAGGCTTTTCCTTCAAAGAGGAGGGGGTAGAGAAGAAGGAAGAGGAGGAGGAGGAGGAGAAGGGATGGGGAGGGGAGAGATAGATAGTGACAAGATTCACACATCTAGACAGGATCGGAATATCACACAAAGAAACAGCCCAAGCAAAGCACCAGCAACCGGGAGCCCCTGGCACAATTTAGACCAGCTCCCCTCAGATGTAAATGAGGGTGGCAAAGGTCTCAGCTGACCCACAGTAAAAGCACACTGCCAATGGTTTAGGGGTGAGGTTGTTCTGAGGGAGGTTAATTAATTTTTCGGGGGCACCAGAATATACTATGAACTGTCTCAGGAGAAGTAATCTCGTGAGAGTAATTTCCAGAAGGAGTTTATTCATCTCGCACTGGTGAAAAATGTAGCTGTAGGAAACACCGTAATTCGCTCCCTTTGGATAACATGTCCCTCCACCCCTCCCCTCTGCTGTGAGCGTGATTGGTGTTGACTCAATGCTCTATGCGTCCCTCTACAACCACTGCAAGACTTTTCATCCCTTAGTTTGAAATTGACGTGGTCACTTCCCCGAGCTGCCTTGGATGTAGCCAAATATTTGTAGGAGACAGGCATCTCTACCTCTTCTCAGAAAGTACCGTTTTGAGAAGTGTTAGGGTAGTTATCTGAATATACCCTAAAATGAATACTATAAATTTAAGTTGCTTTCACAAAGTGATGCATGGTATTTAGGATGTATGCTAATAGATTCACTGTTTCATGAATACATGTATAAGTCCGTATATTCAAGCACAGCACTTAGTAAGTTATTTATTGAGTCTCTGCCACAGAACATTGGCGAAGTTAAAAAATTAATTCAGCAAGACTTTGTACTTAAGGTAGTTAGTTATAAGTAATAATTTGAGGTGGAGAGGAAAGAAAAACCTCTACGTTTCAGGAGGTCTAGACTGCATTGTGGGAAGCTGTAACTAGGAATAGGGATTGTGGCCACATTTAATAGTCTTCATGGAGAAGGTGGGGTCTCGGCTGCCCCCAAAGGCTCCCTTTGGAATGGAGGAGGGGATGAGAGCTCCAAGGACGAGGGGACCCAACAAAGGCCCTGGGGAAGATGCAATGCCAAAAGGGACTGATGTGGCTGGCTGGATGGAGGGGCATAAGGACAGGAGCTGGGGTGTCAGATACAAAGAGAAATGGATGTTGGCTCATAAATGCATGAGCACTAGATTGCAAGCTTGGGCTATGTTCCCCAGAATCTGCACCTTTGAAGGTTTTCCACGTGGAGGAAGACACGGTCATGGTTGCAGTTTCTCGCGCTGTAGTGGGAACCCCTGTCATCTGAGACCGTATGAGTAGGCATTCTGAAACCAGTAGACGAGGGTGGAGCCAAGACCCTGCAGCTTTGACAAGCTCCCAGGTGCAAGTCCCTAGACCTGATCAGAATGGCAAAGCTGTAAGCTGTAGGGAGGCCCCTGGCTTGGCAGCGTGGATTGGAGCATGGCCCTATTGGGGATAGCACACACTGTTATCTCGGCTGAATGGATCACAACAGACAGTAATTTTTCCCCAGCTCAAGGCTTGCTTTACTCATATATGCATTCATATGTGAGTAAGGACAAGTACTGGGTTCATTTTCCAGGGTAAGGCTTGCAGAGAAGAGTGATCCAAGGTACCCATGACTGAATACAGACTTCAAAATGTGAGGGAAAACAATTGGTCAGCAGTCTGTCTGTAGGGTCCTCTGTGGTTATCCAAAAGGCTGAGGAAAATGGGATGGCTCCTTTAATGTGGAAAAAGAATCAAATTTGTATCAGGAGAACTAGATGGAAGAGGTTTGGGGACAAGAGGCAATGCTTGCCTTGCTCAGGTGAAGCCCATCATCCCCTCCCGGTGGCTCTAGTGTGTTCACCACGCACAGCATCCCTTCCTTCTGTGTGAGCCATCCTCCTCGTCTTGGTGGTACCCACAGCATCCCTTCCTTCTGTGCGAGCCATCCTCCTCGTCTTGGTGGTACCCACAGCATCTCTTCCTTCTGTGCGAGCCACCCTCCTCGTTTTGGTGGTACCCACAGCATCCCTTCCTTCTGTGCGAGCCATCCTCCTCGTCTTGGTGGTACCCACAGCATCCCTTCCTTCTGAGCGAGCCATCCTCCTCATCTTGGTGGTACCCACAGCATCCCTTCCTTCTGTGCGAGCCACCCTCCTCGTCTTGGTGGTACCCACAGCATCCCTTCCTTCTGTGAGAGCCACCCTCCTCATCTTGGTGGTACCCACAGCATCCCTTCCTTCTGTGAGAGCCACCCTCCTCGTCTTGGTGGTACCCACAGCATCCCTTCCTTCTGTGAGAGCCACCCTCCTCGTCTTGGTGGTACCCACAGCATCTCTTCCTTCTGTGAGAGCCACCCTCCTCGTCTTGGTGGTACCCACAGCATCTCTTCCTTCTGTGCGAGCCACCCTCCTCGTCTTGTTGATATCACTTAAGCCTTGTAGGGCACCTGATCCAGTTTAGTTTCTACTGTGGCTCATCAGTTCTGCTTTAACTAGGGTTCAGACATCTTAAACATATTTTAAGCTGACTGTACTTAGTTATGACTTATGGGATGCCATGTGACATGCCATGCTTGGATATAATGCATCAAGACCAAATCAGAGCAGTTGGTGTATTCACCACCTCAGATACTCACCATGCTTTAGGTGTTAGGGACATGCAAAAGACTCTCTACCAACTGTTTTGAAATCTACAAATAGATTCTGTCAACCTTACAGCTATTTCAAAGTTTCTTAAACCTTTAAATGCATACTAGGTAAGTAAATGCCCCCCAAATGAATATTTATTTAATTAAATACACGTATTCAAAATCCCTACCCCTTACCACTCATATCCATCAATGCTTTTATGCATTGTATTAAAATGAATCATAGATGTAATAAATTGTCACATGTTGAGGACATCCTAAGGTGCGTTTTTAGCTTAACCTTGTCAGATTGTACCCACTTTTCATGTTACAGCTTACCTAACATATCCAACTACATATTTTAAAATACATATCATGTCTAACACGCAGAAGGAACCCTCTCAAATCTGTGTTTTGTCCTCATACACAGTCAACACACCTGTCACCTGTCTGGAATCCAGGCCTGGGTTTCCTGTGTCACTTGCCTGTTTGTTAAGATGCAAGGGACACATGTCCCTGAACCCAGAAAACATAGTCCAGAAAGGCCTGTGCAGGGAGGCTTTAGACAGCCGGACCGTAACGGATGCCGTGGGCAGATGGGCATGAGAGCAGCCAGAGCATTTCCGTGAGTCTTGCTCCTCATGGGTTTGTAGACCAGAGCTGAGCAATGTGGCTGCGCTGTGTAGTGAGTATAGTTTTGAAGCCTGGGAGGGTTAAGGTGTGAGTACTCTGTCTGAGGAGCACTCTCTTACTCTCTTCCCTCTTGGCTGTGTGCTCCTATGCTAGAGAAAGACAAGGCTCTGGCCTCCTCTTCCTATGAGGGCACTGGAGCCAGGGTGAGTGACCCATATCCGTGGTGCATCTAACCCTCTCCCAAAGTGTCAGCCCCAAATGCCCCCCTTCGAACTGGGGAGGTGAAAGGGGGCTTCAACTCAGGGATCTGGAGAGACACAGTGTTCCATCTGCAGTGCTGAAGGACAGAGCTGGGACTTTACATTTCTCCAGTGTTGAAAAAGATAAGGAGAGACACTCATGTAGCTTTCTGAAGTCTGAAGTCCTGGAATCCATGTGATCACAAAGCAGAGCAGAGACAGCTAAAGGGAGATGTGTGCATGTGTCTGTGTGTATGTGTGTGTCTGTGCATGCATGTGTGTGTGTGTGCGTGCATATGTGTGCACATGGTGCATGCGTGCTCGCGTGTGTGTGTGTGTGTGTGTGTGTGTGTGTGTGGTGGGGGAAGCCATTTCTAGAACGTAGCAGCAGTTTCCAGGCAGGTGATAGGGCTGGATCCAGGTAGACTCTAGAGTCATGAGTCTACATCTCCTATGGGAATCATGAGGGGCAGGCATAAGGGAAGTATGTCCTCACGGTCAGGGTTAGATTTTTGCCAATAACTGAATGGGATGAAGGCAAAGGAAGCAGGCAGATACCCAGGAAGGTACCCTCAGAGAGCAGTAGACAACAGGTGAACAAGGGAAATGAAGAGGGTGCATGTATGTAGAGGGCTAAAGGATGTTCTCAGGGCCTCCAGTGGACCCATAGGCCTTATCCCCGTGACGAAAGCACTTTGAAGATGGGACTCATGTATGGGTGGTGAGGTGAGGAGGTCCTGGATTGTACAGCTGGGTCCTAAATGGGTCACCTCACAAGATGCAGGCAAGAGAGAGGCGTGGCCCCCATAGATAAGCCAGGCGATGTGGCTGCAGAGCTGGGCATTGGAAGAATTCTAGCACAAACCAAGAAGGCGCCAAAATCTGGGGAAAGTAAGGAGTGGATTGTGTCCAGAGTCACCCAGGAATTGTGCTCCTGATCTCCCTCCGCTTAGGAGACCGACAGAGGACTTCTGTCCTCCAGAGCTGTAAGAAAAGACACGTGTGTTTAAAGCCACTACGTTGGTGGTCATTCTGTACAAGCCACAAATTAATGTGTGTGCATCCAGTAAACTGAAAACAGAAGGTAACTGCCATTGAGCCAGCCGGGGCGGGGGCAGGCCGTGGCTGGTGGAAACACATGCCACAGAGGAGACAGAGGGCAGTGAGTGGAGAAGGTAGGATCTGAGCCTACAGACCTCACAAGGGACGGGCTGGAGACAGACCCGGGCGCTAATCAAAGTAGGGGAAGGGAAGCATTGGAGGAATTAGGAAGCAGGGCCTAGAGCAGTGTCATCGGGCATTGGGCGTGCCCTCAAACAGGTTACTGGGACAGATTCCCCCTCACTCCCTGGCCCCAGGGGAACTGTTTGTCTCTTCTTGTGCTTCTACCACAACATGCTGCCCGGCACAAAGCAACGGACAGCTTATTATGGGCTAGTGCCCCTGGAATTGTGAGCCAAGATCCGAGAGCTAGGGGTGTGGCTCAGTGGTAAAGAGCTTGCCTAGCTTGTGCAAGATCCTAGGTTCCGTCCCCACTAACACCCCGAGTCCAGCACATGCAATGCCTCCTTTGTAAGTTAATTACCTCAGGGTGTGTTACGGTAATGGCAGGCCTTTCCAGCCCCCCCCCCCACGTTATATTTCTACTCAAAATAAAAGTTGAATCCTGTTTTTAAGCTATCCTTGAATGTTCAGACACCGTTGATGAGTCAGTTGAGGCTCCCGATCTCATGGATCCAAGTTTGACAAGAGAAACCATGTCATGTGTGTAGAGCAGCTCCTAGCAGAAAGGGGCACGCAGTAAGTCCTAGCTGGCCAGCGCTTTAGAGCTGGAGGAAACGGAATAGTTTGTGCAGAGAACTAAGGGGTATTGTGTTAGGCTTCCTAGAGAAGAGCCAAGAGAAGGCCCATATGTAGACGATAGAGGGTTATTGGATAGGCTTTACTACAGACCATAGGAACTCTAGACCAAGAGCAGACAGGCAGAGAAGGTTCTTGGTGCAGGACAGGTGACACCTCAGTGGTCCCAGCCTGGAGCTGAAATGCCTGGAAGTTTCTAGAACTGTTGATATATATTCTGTGCTGGAAAGCCTGCTCTCAGCTGATGGGAACTGCACTCCTCCGACTCTGTTCATTATCTGGGCTGGCAGCTGGAAGGTTCCTCCTACATTCCGGTCAGGGCTTTCCTTCCCAGTCACTATCCCACACGTCAGTCCTGTCTGCAAAGGCCCCACAAGCACACGGGTGTGTCTCCCAAGTCCCAGACAAGTTGACAGTAAGCCTATCACAGGTATGTTACAGGGCTGGAAGGATACATGTGTGTGAGCCAACCTCAGAAACTAAGGTCATCAGGACTTGACCAGTAGGAACTTATAAAGAAACAGAACAGTGTCGGAACTGATCTGGAATCAGCAAGGCTCCATCAAAAGGTGTGTCGCAGGAAAGTGGAAGGGAATATTGCTCTGCCTCCTGCCAGCCTTCCACAGTCTAACTCCCAGTCCACTGCCAGCCCAAGAACATCCCTGTACGTGTCTGGTGGCAGACCCGACTACAGTGTTTGTTGTTCTACTACGGTTCCAATCAGGAGTGCCAGGAAGTATTCGTAGGGCCTTCAGGTTACACCAACACCCAGCTTTGCATCTTCTGTATCCTCCGTCACTCTTGCTGCTAAGGTCCAGGAACACAATGGCTTATGGGAAACTCACAGCCTATATTAAATGCCTGTGTCCCCGTACTAAGAGCGCTCCACTCTTCCCGGGTCACACGACGCCACCATTACCTATTGAGTCCCCCTGAGAAACAGACAAGCTGTGGTCATAAAACCAGTGACTAGGGAAATGGGGACAAGGTGGCATCTCTTGCCTTCTGCCTCCTGCTTTGCACCTGTGGAATTTCTGATTGCTACGGGTGTTTAAGGCTGAGGGTCCGGTGCTGAGGAGGGAGCTAGAAACTGTTTGCACATAGCCTTTTATCTGAAGCTGGGCTAACAAGGCGTATTCCCCCCCCCCCCAGGTGCTGGTGGAGAATGAGGAAGGAGATGATACCAGATCTCCCTGCTCTGACGGCAGCTGGAGTCTCTGTCCCTAGAGTGCTTAGGCATTCCTTCAACTTCCAAAGGACAGCCTTTGTCCCCAAACTTAGTCTCCCATGGACATTAGGAGGTCCCTTGGCAATAAGGCAGGGGTTTGAGGAAGGTGTTTGCTTGGCTGCTAAACATGGGTCCTTCATCCCTGGGTTTCAGTGCCCTGCCTGGAGCAGGGAAGAGTAGTAAGTTCCTAAAGGCCATGGGCAGGTGGTTGACAGGACAGAGCGGTGAGGCCCACCTGCTGCCAAAGGGTTGATGCCTGTCCCTCGTCTGTTTGCAGGGGAGACCCAGGGGCAGGAGCGAGATGAAAGCCTCGGCCCAGCTGCTGAGGCGGCGTTCACAGTGCCCGGGGATGCTGAGAGGCCTGATGTCAGCTCCCCAGCACAGCCTAGCAATAGGAACCAGTGCTCACACTTTCATCGTCCTCCGGTATCCCAGTGCCCTTCAGAGGAAGCAAACACCCTGGGAGAGGGGACCGCTCCACTGACTGATGGACAGGAGGCTGCACACCTGGAGGAGGGCACAAGGGAGGCTCCTGCAGCAGAACAGAGGTGTGAGCCAGGCCTGTCCCCGCCCAGCCCGGCCTCCCAGGGAGAGGGTGCCACAGCTCTCCAGGACTACTTGTCTTCCATGCAGCCAGAGGCCAAGGCAGAGGTGACAGAGGAATCTGGAAGGGCGGAGACATGAGAAGCAAACTTGAGGCTGAGGGAGACTGACACGGTGACACATGGAAGGCGCCAGGGACAGCGTGGACAGGCTGAAGCTTCGGGACACGCATCCAACCCCTTTCTGCTAAAACACCTTCCTGTCTGCAAATGAGAAAACGCTCTGATCCTGCTACAAGCTGGGAGCACCCGACGGTGTCAGCTCTGTCTGAGTTATTAAATGCTGGTCTGTGAGCTTCTCGGTGTCAGCTCCGTCTGCCGAAGACGTGCCGCTGTGAACACGGCCGGGCACGAGAGTCGTAGTTGCCATATGGCTGCCTCCCCACATCCCTCTCCCTGTCAGCATTTGTTTTATTAGAGAGAAGATGTTTTTCTATTAGCACTTAATGTCGTCCATCAAAATGATGGACCAAGCTGAGTAAAAGAAGGGTTTTTTGTCTTTTGTGTTTTGGGGTTTTTGTTTGTTTGTTTTGTCTCGTCTTTTCTTCTTGGTGGCTAGAAAGAAAGATGTAATTGGATGAAATGTGCTCATGGGGCCATGGCTTCTTTTTGTCGTATAGAAGCCTCTGAGGGTCCCCTGAAAATGGGTGGGAGGGGCCAGAGCAGGCTGGGAAAGCTGGGCTCTAGGCCGGAGAGGCTGTTTGCTGACTGAGTGTTCTAGCCCAGGTCTGGAGCTTTCGCTGGCCTGGAGGGATGGGTAACAAGGAGCTACCAGGAGAAGGGCACTTTCTAGTGGTATTCTGACCTTCCGTTTTTGTTGTTTTTATTGTTATTTAAATGATATCAGAAACACTAGTAGTTTCTCCACACAAGGGCATAGGATGACGTGGATGCTGGCGGTCTGGGCAAAGCTTGCTCCTTGGCGTTATTCCATCTTCCCATGCTGCCTGAAATCCTGAACCACTCACCCCCATCAGTAGAATGTTGCATCTGGGCCTTCAGGAACTTGAAACACAGGACTCTGGAGTTGTGGCCTACCAGGGAAGGAGGAAAGATGAGTTCATCCCAGCCTTGGCCACAGACGGAACTATACATCAAGTGCCAGGTCCAGGAGGGCAGGAAGGAGGGAGTAGCCCACCCGGCTGCTGCTTCCTCCCAGAGTGAAGATGAGGCACAGAGACTCCCGGGGCCATTGAGCCCCAGACCTTCCTTTGAGATGAGCTCAGCTTATGTCCCCGGATATGTGGGGTGGCTGAGATCCCCAAGCTCACACCACCTATGAGAGCCAGAATTGATCTCAGACACGTTAGCTAGAAAGGGAAGCCCAGGGATGACACTTGTTTCCATTTATCCTAAAACCTGTCTGTGCCCCGGGACTCCTGGAGACAAGGACACACCTTCAGACTCGGCCCGAAGCTCTGCTTATCTCTCTGTATTTCGGTTTGTCCCCTCCCCATGAAGGCCAGCCCCATAAAAGAGGAGTCCAGATGTGACCCAGTAAAAGAAAATAAACACTTGCACTTCCCAGAAGCTCTCATGTGGATACACATCCAGCAGGTGCACAACCCTGGGGTCATTCATCACTTTCAGGAGAGTGGGGTTTATAGTAAACTCTGAAACAATCTAGTAGGGCAAGAAACTGCAGTGAGCCCCAGGGTAAGAGGGGTCCATAACTTGAGCTCACTGTATGCAGCCAGCCTGGGAGGGCCCTGTGTTATTAGATGAGTTAGAGCCAATACGCTGACGTTGGTGCATATGTAACCATGACAACACACATCCCCACTTCTGCTGTGCCCACTCAACATGGTTCTTCTACTCTGTAGACAATAAAGAGAGTTTCAGCCGCTAACCATGGTTCCCTGTGGCCTCTTTAAGGGAGTTAGCTGTGGCACTCCCTCCCAGCGCCCCCAACCTGCTTCATCACGGCATTCCCAGCAAAAGCTCATCCTCAGAGGTAACTTCGCCGTAGCCTAATGAATCCTATTGTGTGGCCGGAACTGAAGTTGAGCATCTTGGAGCTACTTCATAAGGAATTTTCCAGGGATCTGGGTATCCATCTCCCATCTTTGCTTGTTTTAAGTCAGTCATGTTCATGGTTGCAACAGCTCCAGACATTGCCTGTTAGCACATTGTGTTCAGAAGCACAGCGATATTCCTCCCATGTATGTGTAGCACATGTTTTGAGGAGAAGGAAAATGGGTTTCTGTCACACCTTGCTCATCACACTTTAATGCCCTCCTTTCCCCTAGGCAGCTGAACAGAGAGCAGCGTAAAGTCAAAGAGCACCAACGGGAATTCGGGGAGAGGGTCTAATCAGAGGGAAAAGCAAGGAAAGTAGGAAGGAAAGTAGGGAGGCCAGGGCTCTCCAGAGTGTGGCCGCACTAAACCAAAGCAGCATGGGGGTCATTTCCACCTCTCACTAAATGGCAATGTTTTCCTTAGGCTGTGTAGGGGCCAAGTCCACACAACACTGCCTAGCGTGGCATCGACACATTGGCCAGTGTGTGTGTGCTTGGGAGTGTGTGCGGAAGGGATGTCAGCTGAAGTCTCTCCTTCGGTGCAGGCCTTGCCTCCTAAGCAGGGGCTGAGTCTGAGCTCCAACACAGAAGTGGGTGTGGGGTTAGAGACACGGAAACCCAGGTGTCCTGGCACACACTTGTCAGCCCAGCGTATTGAGACAAAATGGACACGGGTGGGTCTCTGGAGCTCACTGGGCAACCCAATTCATCATTTGGTGAATTTCAGGGCTATGAGAGACCCAGTCTCAAAACACCAAAAATAATAGACTGTGTCTGAGGAGTAACACTTCAGATTATTTTCTGACCTCCACAGACATGCATGACACACACATTCAACATTAAATTACCTGAAGTACACGGTACTGTTTATTGTTTTGTTTTTATATTGCTGTTTTGAAGTTTTGACTAGTGAAAGAAGTAACTTCCACTCCCCGCACAGTGACCTGGGTTCCTCCATCATCATGTGTCCTATAGAACTAGATCTTGTGCCACCGTCACCTGAAATAAAGAACCCTAGAGGCTGGGAAGATGGTCCAGGGCTGGTTGCGAGCTGGCTGTGCAGCTGAGGATGGGAGTTTGGATCTCGGCATCTGCGTGGGTGTGGCAGCCTCCGGTAATCCAAGCCTCTGGGAGGTAGAGACAGACTCTCAAAAGCCTGGTATCCAGACTAGCCAAAAGCTCCAGAGTCAGTATATTTGAGAGTTTGGTGCGTGCGTGTGTGCACTCACGAACACACGCACGCACACGCACGCACACGCGCACACAGAGTATCTGCAAAAGAGGAAGGAGGAGGAGAAAACGGGGCAGAGGGTGGCTCTGTGGCTCAGTGAACAAAGGTGCTTGCTGTACAAGCCTGGCAAGCAGAGTTCAAGGCCCAGAACCTGTGTAATGGATTCCACAACGTTGTTCTCTGAGCCCCGCACATGCATCATGGCAAGTGCATGCCCTCATCTCCACATCTTTCACATACACACAATGACTTTACTAAAGTGTTAACTTTGCTGACTGGGAGATTAATGGTCTGTACTGTCTGTGTCCCCTTCCCCCCAACCTTCACCAAGGTCATGACCAGGCTGGCCACTGCTTCCAGCACCTGTCACCTGAAATTCTTTAATCATATAGCAGTACTGAGATCTATGGAGAATGTAAAGATTGTATGTATTTTGTCCAAACAGCAGATCTAAACTCAGTTGGTTTATTTCCTGCCGGCTTTTAAAGTTGGCTAAAGCACCCACTGATTTGATCCATTTTCTTAAGTTTTTTAGTATTTTTGTGTATATGCACTAATAAGCTCCACTCAGGGGGAAAAAAAATTAAAAACATCCCTGCCATTCTGAAAAACAGCTTATCCTAACATCTAAAGATAGCATCCCTAATTATTGTCTACATTGTGTGTAAGCTACGCGGGATCGAGCATTATTCTTGCTTTACCAGCTGTGGGTAGGTGCAGCCATTACATCAAATGCTTCTAATTTTACAGAAAGAAATCAAAACAAGTGTGGGTTTAAGTCCCCGCAGTGAGCGCAAACCCTGTGAGTCAAACCAGCAAACTGATTAGCAAGCCGGCCAGGAAGTCAAACAGCAAACAGAAAGAGATCCGTGAGCCAGGTCTGTAAGATGACGGAAGTGAAGACCGAAGCCAGGGAGCCAGGGAGGGATCAAGCAGAGCCCAGTGGGGGCCTTGGTGGCCTAAGGTTGTGTGCCAAGAACCAGGTGTCCCCCCTGTAGCTCTCCCAATGTCCTCCTTCCATCCCCTCCCCGCTGAAGCTGGAGAAGCTCGGCCTCTGGTTGACTGGCTATAGAAACGCTTCCTAGAAACCTCCTGTGGCAACCTCTCCTTTACCGAATTCCTTATAGTTGCATGACACCAACTGATACCTTGCAAGGTGTCTGGACCCATTGTTAGGGAGAGCTCTGTCTGCCTTTAGTAGTTAGCTGTTAATAGACTGGTTGGGTCTGTATTAAAATTCATATTCTGCTAAGCCCAAACTGCCAACTAGAATTCCTTGGCTCTTTCTGTGACCTGAAACTTGCACTCTTGTTTAGTGTGTGTGTGTGTGTTTGTTTTTTCCTGGTGTTTCTTAGCTCTGGGATTTCAGGATACTTGCTAACTCCATGAATGGACAGAATAATATGGACTGGCTCTGCTGAGGGGTTCCGGGGCCATGAGAAGCACCTGCTGATCCTAAGACTAGCTTCCCCAGAGTTCTGAGTTGGCCACCACAAGGCAGCAAAGGGGAGGCTGTGGCTAAAGTCGGTCTTTATTCCTCTCCACCATGGGTTGCCATGTCATCCGCACGCACAACTTTCAGCCATGGAGATGGGGTAAAATAGCGTTGGGGAAGGGGAGGGCTTCGGGCTGTAGTTCAGTTTGCCTCTCAGCCGAGGACCGGGAGAAGCTGAGGCTGCCATGCTGGACCAGGTTGGGGAGCCTGTGATGGGAGGCAGGCTAACACAGGTAGATTGGGTTTGTAAAGGCAGAAGACATACACAGGCTCTCTCTAATATCTGGGAGCTGCCTGCCTGGGTACCTCAATATCTACGTCACTGTCACCAGGTAGGGGCTCCAGCCTGGAACCCATTTCACAGCAGTGGAGGGCTTTTTCCTCCCCTCCCTAGTCTCTGGCTCTGGGTTGTGTCTCTATCTTTTTGTAAAGAAGCCACACAGATACATTTAAATGTCCTTCGATGGCTGTTAACCCTCAGTCCTCCAAAAGGCATAATAATCATTGATAATGGAACCTTCTCCCTACCAGCAGGAGGCCTGTAAAGACCCAGGAATATCTGGGGGAGAGAGGAACTGAGAAGTCTCAAAAAAAAAACGTACCCCAGGCCAATGCAGGGCTAAATTGCTGTGTTTTTAATGTGCAACACCAAGGTTGCCAAATACCCTCCCAGGAGCTGCTATCCGCGGGTTACAGGCACCATAGGGAACGGCTGAAAACAGGGCCAAGGAGGGGACATGGGACCCTAGGGGTGGTCTCAGAGCACCTTGGGGGAGCAAAAGGAAGAAAGAGAGGTCACTAGAGAAGAGAGGGGTCTCTTATTTTAGGGGGACGGGAAAGAAAAGAGGAAGTCGGGGTGGGGAGTACTTTAGGGTGTGTGTGTGTGTGTGCGTGTGTGTGTGTGTGTGTTGGGGGGGTCCTCAAAGGTGATCCTCAGAGTGAAAGTGTCTGAGCATTTGCGTTCTCAGCAGGGAGAGGGGTATTTCTTCTGGAAAAAAACAGACTCAAATAATTGTTCCAAAGAGATCCTAAGGGCCTGTGTGACTGTCGGGACGCGGAGGGCCCTTAAGGTGGAGCGTCCAGCATGGAGGGGGACCTCCATCATTCGGAGATGTCTGCGATAGAAGGACCTCTGTGTCTTTGGAAGTGCCTAGGGCACTAAAGGATTCTTGGGTCACTGGAGATGTCCTAGGTCATAGAGAAACGGTGTCTGGTCCACGTGGGGGGACATCCGGGGAGCACGGAAGTGACGGAGGGAGAGGGAGGGTCGAGAAGGCATCTGGGACCGTGCAGAGGTGTCAGGGGTAGGGGGAAGCCTGTGGGGCTCGCAGGGGCGACTGGGGTGCCTGGAAGGCATCTGTCTGGGATGCGTGGAGGCGACTGGGGCGCGCGGAGACATCTCTGCGCAACGCGTCTGGGCTCTGCAGCCGGGAGCGACGCTTAAGCCGACTTGCAGTCTCTCTCCTGCCGCCGCTTCCTGCGCTCCTTCACCTGCCGCTCCCAGGCCGCCGCACTGCTGGAAGCCACCACGCAGCAGGCCAGCCGACGCCCGGCGTTGCCATTCTCCAGGCTGGCCTGGTTACCGCCGCGGCCCATGTCATCCTCGCCGGCGTGGACCACCACCGCGCGGCCCAGGATCGAGTGCGGCCCGGCCAGCGAAGCGTTCAGGCCGGTGCGGTGCTTCCAGAGGCGGCCGTCGCGCACCATGAAGTTGCCGAAGTCGCCCGGGTGCCGCGGGTGCTGCACGCCCGCGGGGTTGTAGTGAGGCCCGGTGGACTCGCAGCCCTGGCTCAGGTCCCCGAACTGATGCACGTGGATGGCGCGGCTGGAGGCGTTTGGCTCGGCGGGGAAGCCCTCCAGATCGAAGAAGGCCTCAAGCCTGGAGCTGGGTGACAGCTGCTTGAAGAGGACCAGGCCGGTGACCCGCGGCTGATCTGCGGCCAGCGAGGCTGAGGGCTGCACTTGGCAGATTGCATGCATCTCCATGGCATCCGCCTCCCGCAGCTGTCTCAGCTCCATCCAGATCTCCAGCACTTTGGCATGAGTTTCGTTTATCTTCTCAGCCAGGTCAGGCCCGATCTCTGCTAAGTCGAAGCTGGACTCGTCGGGATTCCGCAGGGCCCAGGTGACAGAGCCACAGGCCGCCAGAAGCATGCCACAGAACAGGAAGGCCAGCATGGCTGGGGTTCTGCACCTGCCCCACGTCCCCCATACACGTGGGAGGAAAGCAAGCCTCAGTCACTTGAAATGTTCACTCCCACATCCTAAACCCATCTCCCATGCTTGCTTATTTATTTGTTTATTTATTCATTTATCTGTTCAGCAAATGTGTCTCCAGGGCTTGCTGGGTGCCAAGCCAAGCACAGGGATAGTCTGTGTTTACAGACTTGCCAAACCCTTACATTCAGAAACTCAGAGAGATCTGAGTCACACAAAATGACAGTCCTCCAGAGTGTGCGTGCGTGCGCGCGCGCGCGTGCGTGTGTGTGTGTGTGTGTGTGTGTGTGCGTGTGTGCGTGTGGTGTGTGTGTGTGTGTGTGTGTGTGTGTGTAGGGGGCAATATCACACTGCCTTTCCAGACCCGGCTCTTCCCTTCCCAGCTCCCTGCGGGCAAGCATGAGACTGTCCCTGTCCCCTCAGTTTCTGCTGGCACTGAACCCTCTCTCTGGAGTGTTTGCTCCCTGGTCCCCACCGCTCGCCAGCTGACTTGGAGCTTATGGTGGTAGCAATTCGGTTTTCTTCATGGTTTCTCCCTTGAGTTGCTGCCTTCGCCTCCCAACTGGTCCTCAGCCTATGTCTGTCTCTGAGTCTCTATGTCCCTGTCTGTCCCTAAACTGTCCCCATTGACTGTCTAGTCCTGTCCAGCTCCTAGGTCCACACCAGGCAAAGGAAGACAAGGGTGAAGACATGGAGGTCCTCAAGCCCTTCCAACACAAGTCTAAGATTGAAGTTGGAGCCTTGTGCTGGGGCCCCTGAAGAAGCCATGCCCATCTCCTGCTGGGAGTGGGGCTAGTGAACAGATATAAAACATCACATCCATCTCATAAATATGTACAGATACATATCAGTTTCAAAAAGTTTAGGTTCTAATCGGACATGAGAAAGGGTGAGGGCTTTTCCCCGAGACTGGGGAAAAGGCAATGGGTACAGTCTAGGGATGGAGACGGACCAAACCCAGAGAGATGCAGCCTTGGGACTAGTCCAGGGGCCATTGCAGGAAGCTAGGGCAGACACTGAAAGCGATTACTACATGGAGTTGGGAAGCAGAGAACAGCATGGGTGTGGTAGCGGTGGCAAGAGGGAGAAAGAGGAGGAGGAGTTGCCCGAGGCTGAGGTGCCCCAAAGAGGAGAACATGTGGGCGTATGTGGGCAGCAGGTCCGAGAAGCAGCTAGGGTGTGTGCGTGGTGGGGGCGTCTGGACAGAAGTTTGGAAGCTCGGGTCTGTCTGGCACTTGGAAGAAGCCAGGAGATTGGTTTAGTGTTGAGTGCACATCAGGCTCTCTCTCTCTCTCTCTCTCTCTCTCTCTCTCTCTCTCTCTCTCTCTGTGTGTGTGTGTGTGTGTGTGTGTGTGTGTGTGTGTGTGTGTAGGGGCCCAAGGTTGGCATCAGACTTTGTCCTCAATTGCTCTCTACTTTATATATTGAGACACAGCCCCTCACTGAACCCGAGGCTATCTGTTATCCTCCTGGCTTATCTGGCTAGCCAGATGGGGATTCCTATCTCCTCCGCCCTGTCATTGAGATTACAGGTGGGCCACCACTTCCATCCAGCTTTTTACATAGTTTCTGGGGGTCCAAACTCCCCATCTTTGCTTTTCCCTGGGCCAGATTCTCATTTTGGATTCTGGTTTCTAAAACCAAATTACCCAAGCGCCACCCCCCACCCACCCACCCAAGAGATTCTAATTCACAAAGGCTTAACATGATTTTCCTTTTTTTTTTAAATTTTATTTAAATTAACTATTCTGGTGCCCAAAAATGATGGAAAGGTACAGAACTCAACCTCAGTTACAACACAGCTGACTCACTCAATATGTGGGTGATTGATTCCAGGCTGCCTCACGGGTTCCAGAATCCACGGGTGCCCAAGTCCCTTACATAAGATAGCAAGATGTGTGCGCAGAAGCAGCTCAGATGGTCCTGTGCACTTTCAAACCTGCCTGGATGCCTTGCTGCCGTTTCCAGGGCCAATGCTGTGTAGACAGCCACTACAAGGAGAAAGATCTGTATATGTTCAGTACAGTGGCAGGGTGGGTTTTGTCTGTTTGGGTTTTGTGATTTCTGCCCGAGGTTGTCTGAGGTGCACAGCCCAAGGACATGGCAGGTAACCGCGCTGTGGCTTTGTAGGGCTGCAGCCCATACTCTGGGCTCCTTGCCTGTACAATAAGGCCAGTTCTGCTGCAAAAGGCCATGGTGAGGGTCAAGGCAGGTATTTATAAAGGAGATACTTTTGCATTAAAAAAAAAAAAAAACCTGCCCTAAGGGATTAATGATCCCTCCAAGGGGCTAGTTGAAGGTCATCTGTGCGCTCTGAGCCTTCTACAACCCCTGAATAGGTGCCATTTAAAATGAATGGAGTGTGAGTTCTTTCCGTGGCTGTTATGGAAGGACAATTTACTATGGTGATTAGAAGAATGGATTCAGGAACTCTCCCCATGGATCTAAAACTTGACTACCACTTACAGTCTAAGGTTATCTGCCACTGCTGTTTCTATGCTCAGTGTGTAGCAGTGTGCTGAGCTACAAGCTGTCCATGGGCCCTGCTTTCATTCTGAGCCCGTTTCTCGTCTGCAAGGAGGTGCAGACGTACCTGCCTCTGGGAAGCTTGCTGCCAGCATTCAGAGAGAGCCGAAATGGCCAGCGCCTGTTGAACACTGGGCCCAGGCACTGTTAAAAGCCTTTGGCATATGTGAGTTTTGTACGTGTGTGTGTGTGTGTGTGTGTGTGTGTGTGTGTGTGTGTGTAGGTCATTGATTGAGTTAGATTGATAGGCCAGCAGCAAGCCCTCCAGTCCACCATTGTGTCTGACTTTTTTGTGCATGCTGGGGATCACAAACTCAGATCTTCATGCTGGGGTACAGAGGTGAGGGTCTCTCCCAAGGCCACATATTCACTGAAGAGCTAAGAGCCAGGGGCAGGGCGTGGACGTGAGTGGCTATCTCTCAGGCCCAACAACAGAACCACACTGCACATCCTCAGCAAGTCCTCAGCAAAAGGCGCCGCGTTGCTGCTGGAGAGAGGGTGCTGATGGAGCTAACTGTGAGCTGTGGTGGCCAAGGAGGAAGGAGGAAGGCCAAGGAAGGCTTGAGAAGGGGAAGCAGGACAGGCCTCAGTGGACATCTGGAGCCCCTCCCCCCTTGACGCGGCCTGCTACGGGAGCATCTGGAGCATCGGGGAGTGGGTAGGAGAAGTAGAGAGCAGCCTTGTGCATCTGGCCTCAGCTCTCCCTGGACAGGGATCCTCTTCCGAGGCAGCCTGTCATTCCAGCATGTTCTGTGCTTACGCTTAGCTTGGGGAATCCTCCTTTCAAAGCCCGGAGCAAAATCCAACTCGAGTGTGTCTCTGGGCTTTTCTAGGAACGGATATCTTTTAAAAAGATGTTTTCTTTTCAAAAAGAACATGGTTCCTCACCCCAGCTAAACCTGGACTCCTTGCTGGTGACATCTCCTCTCCTTGGGTATTTTCTCCCCTCAGCTGCTCTTCAGAAGGAGCCTTTGCTGTCAGCCAGAGCCGACAAAACCTCCAAAGCAAGTGACTCTTCAGGGTGCCTGCTTATCCTCACCCTCCCTAACTCCGATACCCAAGCCACGCAGTGTGCGAAGACGGCCTTCATTACACGCCATTCATAGCACTAAAGGCCTTTTGGACCAGCCATGGCAGGCCCAACACAGAAAGCTTTCTCCCCATCACTCCCACCCCCTCCCCCGCCTTCCCGTAACCGTTCTCCCCACTCTAAGGCATCCAAGAACATGACTGAACCTCTTCCAACAAGTGCCGGCTACCCCAGCCCAGCTTCCAGCTCTTGAAAAGCATGCTCCCAGAAGAAGGAAGTCAGCTCAGTCCTGCACGCACCTGTCAAGCTCTCCGAAGAGCACTTTCCTCTTGGGGAAGCAGCAGCCAGCTGGGGGTCTGAGGGAGAGCCTGTGGGCAGCCTCCTTCCCAGAGCTGGCTGGATGGCTGTTTGTGAGCAGCTGGGAGGCCAGCCCCAGGGAGTGGTCAGCAAAAGGGAAGAAGGTCACTGGGCTGGCTAGGAGGAGAAAAGCCAGCCTGGCTGTCCCTTGTGGTGAAATTGCTGCCGCCTCCTCCTCCTCTCCCTCCTCCCCCACTTCTCCTCCTTGTCCCCACCTCCCAGATCCTTCCCACTGCTACTTCCCCCTGCCAAGTGTGCCTTTCCCTGGCTGTGCAGACGCAGGCAGTGACCTTCAGGACGCGGCAGGGGAGCAGAAATGAGAAAGAAAACAGCTTGTTTGGAGAGGTGTACAATGGTCTCTTTATTGAAGGGCCTTTTTGCTCCCCTCAGCCACTGACTTCTGCTGGGTGCTGGTGTGTGTTTAGGACAGACATGGGCACTTGGCAGCTGAGTGCAGCACTCACTCTCCAGAAGTGTGCCACCCACCGTAGAAGGTATGAAGCGGGCATGGTAGTGTGCCATTTCCTACCCATGTACCCCCTTTCGGCATCTGTGAAATGGGCATGGGATGTGGGTAATCCCATCCCCGTGAGAATAAAAGAGTAAAGCCAGTGTCTAGCTTTCATAATGACGCTAATGAGTCAAATAATGACCCAACAGCTCCATGACCGTTGTCACTGTTGAATTAGAGTGACGGAGGAGGGCTGCTTGTTTTTGAAACTGGGTCACACGTACCCTAGGCTAGCCCTCAATTCGGAGGATGGCGTTGAATCTCTTAATCCTTCTGTCTTCAGCTCCCAAACGCTGGGGTTACTGGCATGCACCACCATATTTCTGTGCTGTTGGGGACCAAACATGTATGCTAGGCAAACGCTCTGCCACTGAGCCCCAGCCCAGGAAGAGCCTTTGAGAGCGGCTCACAGACTGGGCCTGTCATGACCCTTTCACCCAATGGCCATTATTTCTTTTGTTATCTTGAACTTTCTGCCTTTCCAGAAACTCCAGAAACAGAAGGTTCTCTTTCCCAGAAAAGCCCTTTCCCACCGTGGGAAAAGTCAGCTTGCTGCTGCTTGTCTCCCCCAATTCCTTCAACCAGTGACCACTGGGTGCCTGCCCCTTACCAGGCACCAGAGACTGAAAGCGCACAAGTTCCTGTCCTTTGTGGTTCACATTCTGAGGGGTAAACAGAGGTGGCAATGGTACAGTTAGAGACAGAGGGACATACACACACACTCACTCACATGCTCTCTCTCACACTCACAATCTCTCACACTATACACACACACACACACATACTCATTCACTTACTCATTCACACACACTCACACACTCACACACACACACACACACACACACACACACACACACACACACACACAAACACACACCTCCAGTCACCAAGCCTGGCAGAGAGGGGAGTTGTTTAGTACCTGTCCTCTGTGCTCCACCTGGAGCTTAGTGAATCTACTTCAGGTAGAGGCTTCTGGAAGAGCTGTGTTTAATTAATCACAGATCAACAACTATGTTTGGAGATCACTTCTCTGCTGAAAGATCCCCGGGATCCCCAGGGGCAGCTACTCTAAAAGATGAGCAGCGGGCTTCTCGGGACTGGAGGACTCTGGCAGATCTGTCCTCATCTACATTTGAGGACAGATAGCTCTGGAAACAGCAGTTCAGTCCCAAGATCTGCATCACCTTTTGAGAGTAGCTGTCCTCTACCAATGACCTTATAGGGTACAAGATGCCACCCGCCACCCACAGCCATCCACAGTCACCCACAGCCACCCACAGCCACAGCCACCCACAGCCACAGCTACCCACATTCACCCACAGCCACAGCCACCCACAGCCACCAATAGCCACCCACAGCCACCAACAGCCACCCATAGCTACAGCCACCCACAGCTACAGCCAGCCACAGCCACCCACAGCCACCCTACCAGACCCTGGTTCCCTTTCATGACTTTTTCATTCATTTTGTTAAGTCCTTATTTTCATTCAGTCCTTGAAGTAACTCTTGCATAAGCTCCTAGCTACTGTTTCCAGTGGCCCTGTTTTCCATGCGCCTCCTTTTATTTCTTTCAAGACTGGAGAAAGCATTCCTTCATTCTGGGAGTCTAGGGTTAGTCACTTTCCTTTTTAGGCTCTCTAGGAGCCTAACTCCTACTCCATCCTTGCAATATTCATCCCCTTTCCTTGGACATCATGATCTCATTTTCTTCTTAGCAGCCAACTTTACTCCTGGATGCAAAGCTAGGCTGGTGGCTTGGGCACTGCTTGTCATGGAACACATCAAGGCATGATGTGTTCTGGGCCACCCCCTCCTGAGACAGGGCTCCCCTGTACACCAGTCTTTGTAGACCAGACTGGCCTAGAACCCACCGAGATCAACCTGCCTGAGCCTCTGGTTTAAAGGTGTGCCCCTGCCTTTGATTGGGACTCTTAAAAGAGACATAACTCTCTTTCCCGACTTGACCCCGGACAGAAACGGTGGTCACTGTACTGCACCAAGGGAGAGCCTGTCTGAAGAGGAAAGACAAGGCAAGTGTAGCGAACTGGGGATTGGTGGAGTCCCAGCATGTAGCCACACCTGAAGCTCTACATTCATTATGTGAACGTTCTCACATGAGGAAGTATCATGGCTATCATGGCTAATGCTTGCAGTAATTTTGTGATGTGGATATTAATCCATCTGCTCTACAGATAAGGACATGTGGTTTGGAAAGGGAGGTTTAGAAATGGGTTCAAGATCCAAAGCTAGAAAATAGCCAAGTCAGGATTTGAATTTATAAACTAGGCCTGGTGACACTTGACACTTGCCTGTGACCACGGTCACTCAGGAGACTGAGACAGATAAAACCCAATCCTAGGCCAGTCTGGGGTATGCAGCTCTCAAAACTCAATTTTCTTAAGGATCGGGAGGGAGAGCAGAGAAAGCATGCTTGCCTAGCAATCATGAGGTTCTGGGTTTAAGTCCCAGCACTTCAAAATTGAAAATATTCGATTTTTAGATAGAAAAATAATCCTGGTCTGTTAATCATCACATTTGATTACCACCAGCCTGATGCAGAGATGAAAGAAAGAGGACACAGAGGTGACAAATGCTGTGAATTCTGTAGCTCCCTCCAACAGCAGGGCGCTTTGCAGAGGTGACACTGAACCATTTCTGACCCCTCGGGCTGTTAATGTGTAATAGGACAGGTCCAGTGCAGACTGTAAGGCCCAGAATTAGAAACATCAGGAAGCGCCCATCCTACCCCTGGAGAAGAGTGCTCGGACCTTTGCACTTTTATGCTGAATGCCAGCTATAAATGGCGTCCCCAGGAGTTAAGTTTCATTAACAGTGTTTCAGTAACCTTGGAAGTCAGAGAGCCCGGCCCACCTCCCTCCAAGGCCAGGCGGTCTGTAGTGACAGTTTACCCAACCAGTGAACCTCAGACACAGGAGAAAACCTCAAGTGATTCTTGCCTGCCTGGAGTTTTCCCGCAACCCCTGCTGAGGAACAGAAGCTGAACAGACACTCTGCACGTGGGTCCTGGAACTGTCATTTGGTCTAAACACATTTGGATAATCGAGGGGAAAGAGGCTCCTTGCTGAGCAAGGCCCATCCTTCTGAATAGAGGTAAAATAATAACTAACATTTATTAGCTGCCCTTTGTGTGACAGGTGCTGGCTAAACAACACTCAGTGACCATCTTAATGCCGCTGCCGGTGGGTAAAGAGTGGCTTGCACTCTGGTGTATGTGATATCCTGGCGAATTTCCTTTACGCTACGACACGTGGCGAATTCCCTTTATGTGTTGTCTACCCCTCCAACAGAAATGAAAGGCCTTTCTTGACCAGAAGGATGGTGAATGTAGGATATTCTCCCAGGAAACACCAGCTCAAAATCCCTCCGAGTAGAGTTCCCCATGGGTTCCGAGCAGCCCCGGAGGGCTCTGTCTCCGTGTGCTCGGCCCAGCTGTAAACAGTAGAGCAGTAGGAGGTTGGGAAAGTAGAAGCATACCTACTTCTGTGCTCGTTTCCTCAATTGCACAGAGCACTCCACTTGGGCAAAGGGGAACCTTCTGCAGCTTACATGTTTCATATTCATTTAACAAACAATGGGCGGGGCCCAGCAGCTATATTTACCCATCTTCTTCTATCAAGCTGCAAAGCCAAGACTTGCTTTCCCAGAATCCCCTTCAACCAGCAGTGGTCAGGTGATCCTCCTCAGCTTGGAAAACAAAGCAAGGCCCAATTCTTTGCTGCTTTTTAGAGAGAAGCATCAAATATAAAGACGCAGGCCGGCAGTAAAGGAATGAAAGAACGTTTTACTGTGTAAGGGGGCTGTGTGCATTAACAGATTAATACCAGTCAAAATAAAACTGCTGTAGCCACAACCAAATCTGCACCATAATAAAAAGGCACAGCCACTAGACAACCGTCGTAACTCTCAGAATTTTAGATATGCAATGATAAAGCTCAGAATGTGTCAAATGAAAGCTTATAAAACTGAAGACAGGTCAAAATCCAAAAATCAGGATTGAACATTAAAAAACAAAAGCTTTTAGTAGTTCATATGCAAAACAACCTTAACATAGGTTAAGGGAACAAGCTATCTATCCACACAATCCGGTATATTCCCAAAAGCTTTGAGATCCACAGTTCTCAAGGTTACGGTGTGTTCATCACACCAGATCCTGTGCTGGGCCAGAACACTAGGCTCAGTAAGGCCTAAGAGGTGTCACATGACTGCAAAGAGACTGAAACAGAAACCAATGAGCCGTCTAGAAAATTCCCAAATACATGGAAACCAAACGATATACTTCCAACAGAAGGAGCCACAGGGAAACAAGAAAATATTCCTACATGAAAAATAATGAAAGCAACACATCAAAACCTGCAAGCTGGACCCAAAACAGTTCTTAGAGGCAGATACACAACTTTAACATATGTATATTTTAAAAGTAGGAAAACTTAGGTATTAAGAAGCAATCATAAGCAAACTAATAAATGCATAGGATCAAACATCACATGTATATAGATAGAGAGAGGTAATTCCAGAGCATAAACCAATAAGCAAAACAGAGGCATAAAACATAAACCAAACAGAAAAACATGATAGCTATTTTTAAAAGTCCTTGGTGGCTCATTTGTTAAGGT